TATTGATGTATCCATGCATGCATGTATGTGTGTGTACGTATTGATGTATGCCTGTATGCACACAAGTACATGTGTATGTACGTACGTAGTTATGCATCCACATATGAATGAATGTGCGTCAACAACCAATCTGCATGTCTGCGAGTGCAAGAACCTGAAGTGCTTTCACAAACTGCACATCCAAATCCTAAGCATCTGACTAATTCCTGGCTTGGAGTCTTTTGAGATTGATGTCCAAGGCAGCATAGAGTCTATTTATAGGGGTTGGAATGTCTTACTTTCGATTTTTTGGTTTTTCTCCTTCGTCGTCCTGAAGATCTAAAGGCATGCGCGTGCGGACGCACTGAGCTACACAGAAACACAACGGCCGTACCACCTGCCCCTAGCTTCTTTGTGCGGCGAGGTCATGCAGACCTATGAAGCTCTGTACCTGTCCCCTACACTAGACTAACTTTCCGAATCAGCAAAGCTCTACAACCGAATCCCTGAACCCCAAAACCCTGAATTAAACTGTTGATCCCGAATCCCTGAACCGGCTGTGCATTTGTTGCTGCATGCTTGCATGCTTCCACAGTACAGTGTCCGCCAAGGCTTCCGCCAGTCCCTGTAAGAGCTGGGACCGCCTGGCGTGGGGTTTGCAGGCATTAGGGTTTAGGGTTTAGGGTTTAGGGACAGGATATGTGCCAGGGGAAAGCCACAGATGCGCACGGTGGGGACTTCGGATTTCCTGACTTCGGGCTCCAGCTGAGTTGCACTGCAGATAACTTCCTTGGTGTTTACAATGGGAGTAGCTAGTTAGCTAGTTGCACGTAGTTGACGAAAGCGACGGCCTAGGTTGTGGCAGCTCCGATAAACAACCCAAGAGTCTAAGAGGTGGGGGTGGGGATGGGGATTCTAAATTGTCATCTCACCAATCCCAGTACTTCGGGCGAATATGCCGAGCAGCTTCCACCACCAAACCCGACAGCTGATGTCGCAATTCTTGAACACAGCCACGCAGCTTTCGGGTTAGGTTCGTGGATGTTAGGAAACTGGCGTTCCAGTCAGGCACTCGCACAGCAAGGAAGGAGCACGGACTACTGCACCCAAGCTCAACATCCCACAGCGCAACCTTTCTGACTTCTGTAACCTGAGGCATTGCGACTGCAAAGGTCGACTTCAAAAGCGGCCCTCACGCATGTCAGAACTGAACTCCTCTGACTCTTACACCGACACCCTACTTGACCCCGAACCTAAAGCCCCTTAGCAAGCATCGCTCTGTGCCAGCCGCCCCAACTCCATGAGCATGCAACTTCATAGATTGCGACGAACATCCTAAAAACAACTGAAGAGTATTTCCGGGGGGCACATCTATTCCTGTTGTTCGTGAATTGGTATGAACTCCTGCCATTAGTCCGAAAACGTGTGAAATCACTCAAGCCTAAGAAGCCGCAAGCCAACAAACCAAACCTTGAAGAAATGAGAAGCAAGCCAAGGTGTGCTCTTCAGTAGTTGCAGCACGCCGCCACCTCGAGCAACTACACGGGGGTCCAATGGACACATATGCTGAACCCCTGTTGGTAGCATTTGGTGGCCAAAAACCGCTGGAAGCCAGTTCATATCACTTCATGATGCTGTCTGACTCCTCGTTCTATCTGCGTCATAGGGCCCGAAAAAACACCGAACAACACCACCCGCGAACAGAACATGACAAACCGTCAACCCCTATATAGATCCCCAAAGCCAACCCTACAATCCATAATCCTTACTAATCGCTACAGATCCTGAACGACGTCCCTAAACCGACAACCCCAAACTGCACTCTTCGGATCTTAAGCCCTGCAAACCATCTAAACCCTAAGTTAGGCTTTTCATTAAGGCTAAAGGTTTGCAGCAAGCTATTGTCTACCCGCATAACCAACAGAAGGAACTAAAACTGAGAGTCAAAGTAAACCACGACATGGCTGAGCTTCAGATGATACGGAACCCAACAAGTGTAGAAACCCTGAGTAGCAAATTGCAGGAACCTTATTATAAAAGTCTCCCAAACAGCGGACAGCTAGTTTCAACAAGCTCCAGAATGGCTGAGCTTCAAGCTCATCTTCGGAAAGCACGACGACCTTGCAGCCTCGCGCTGCGAGGGCCCGCGATGCCTCGGATGGCATGGCGAAGCTCAGAGAACACTGGGGGTCAAAGGATTTAGGGTTTAGGGCATTCGCTTCGGGGCACAAGGTTGATGATATCAGGTTAGGGCCTTCTGGGCTCGGCGGACTTGCATTCTTCATTTTTGGCTTTGTTTGGTGACCTTGGGGCTGTTGCCCCTGAGTTCCTTCAGCACGGATTCGGTGAGATCTAATTATGGTTGTTTCGACGGGGGTTCTTCTTCATCGTTTTCAGGTGGACAAGCATGACTCAAGAAGGGGCGATCAACGATATGGTGAGTGTGTTGGAGATGCTTCTGGACAGTATCTTCGCATCCGTGCCCGGACCTATTACAAGTCGCGAAGGGGAGTGTCGCAGCCATCATGCGCATACGGTGGTACTGCTCCTTCTGGCAAATTGAGGAAGACCAGCACGATGTTGACAAACCCGATATCAAGACTGAGAAAGAGTAGGTGTCAGTCATGCATCTTCTGATCCGGCAATAGCACTCATCATTCCTGCAAATCATGATCATGTACTGACAAGGATTTGCCTACATTGGCGGAGGAAGTGCAACCAACCCCTTCGTCGAAGTTCGCGAACGGAGTCAGCATCAGCTTATCCACGGCGGTCTTCTGCTATCATCCCGGAGCATCGACTTTCTCTCGAGCTAAAGGCATCAGTGAGTCTGGAGGGGGAGTCGGTCATGACCGCACACAACATGTCGATTTGCAAGCACTGCTGCAGCAAAATGAACAACAACAGCAACACCATCATCATCGCCATCAGCATCATCAGCATCATCAGCATGACCATCATCGTAATCACCATCATAACCATCGAGATCGCAGTGGTCATCATCATGCACATCACATCACCATTATCATCAACATCCTGGTCATCATCGTCACCGTCACCACCAGCACCAGCACCATCATCATCATCATCATCATCGTCGTCGGGATCGCCATCGCCATGGCCATCGCCGCGGCCATCGCCGTCATCGCCATTATCATATCACCAGAATCACGGCCGAGACCTCACCCTAGATTCCACACCATCCCAGAAATACACCTCTGTAGCTTTCAGTCATGCTTCCTTTATGCCGAACCCGAATACACCGAAGCTTACCCAAGCCAAGAAGCTTCTAAGGCTGAAGTCTCTAAAGCCCCAACCTTCCCCCAAAGGGGGATCTCTGCGAAATCTCCTGCAAGAAGTTCACGGGTAGCCATAGGCTGGGCTCAAGTAGGATGGGACACTACACCCTTGCAAACCTCTCGCTATCGATAGATGTTCACTCGTGAGCCAATGGAGGAGCTCACCATAGCATTGTAGCTTAGAGCCTTTCTACCTAGCAATGGATGACGAAACCCAAAGCCGAAAACACCTCAAGGCCTGGTCATGACCTCAGGTCCGCGCAGCGGTCAACGAGCCGTGTGTTGGGGTATCCTGCGTAGCTTTGTGTGAAAGACAAAGAGCTTCCAAGGCATTTTGAGGGCAGCTGGGGTTCGGGTTATATGGATGGGATCTAACATCATCCTGCAACACTGACATACTGGAGACTCAGTATTTTGAGTAAAGACTTTGGTGAGCATACTGCATGGGTAAGCTCGTCACATGCACTGGGCAAGGGAGTTTCTACAAGTTACTGGCAAACAGAGACGGGGAGCACCAAATCCTTGAACTTCACCCTCTGATTTGCATCATCCTGCTTATTATTGCTCTCTACATCTGATGAGCTTGCACAAGGTAACACACTTGGGCCCCCAAAACACGACGATATGCGTTCTTTGATGGATGGCAGGTAACATGTCAAACTTCACATCCTTAAACCTGGAGTGTCGAGCCTGTCGACTGTACATGGTCCAGACACCACCCCCGAACCAAAAACTTGCCCGACTTCTGAAAACCCTCAAGTCCTAACAAAGCTGAAACACCCCACCGCCGACAGCAATGGCCCCCGACCTCGTTCCCTAGCGTGGTGATCTGCATGGGTCCAACAGCCAGGAGGAGGGCGATCTGATCGTGCTGCACTCCGAGCCCTAACCAAAACCTTGCTGCCCCAAGCCAAATACTTTTAAACCCTTCTTGTCGGCTTCTGCGGTATTGGTGATCCAGGGAAACCTGCTGAGAGTTCGCATCGTGCCAGCCTTGTCTCCGTCGGCGGAGCTGAAAACCAGATCCGTCCGGAATACCTGTCTCCAGAAGCTATGGATTTAGTGGGTCTGGGCCTAGGCCTGCAGGGCCCAGAGTTCATCGCCTGATATCGTCTGGGGCTGAGGATTCGAGTTCCGAGTTTGCCGCTGAGCCGGCTCAACCCTCAGCTCTCACGCCATCGAGCAGAGAGGACGCCGCATGCAAAGTTCCTATCAAACCTTACGGCGTCAGCTGTGCTGTAAAACTAAGCGCGGGCCTGTTGGATCCTGAACGTTGAACGCTCCGCATCAGCATCTTCGCAAGTTGGACGCGCACACCCGTGCAAAGACTCAGGAGACCGCCCTACGAAAGATAGGCACCCTGTCCGACTGCTCGGCAGTCCAGGGAATAACGTAACATGGCCTACAGGGGTGTGGAGGTTTCCGACCTGAGTGGGAATCGAGCCCCGGGAGAGCTTCGGGCCGCAGAGCCGAAAGGAGGTTGGAAACCCCCCAGAACCCGCGTCCCGCGTGACGGAGCTCTTGGACCCAGAAAGCCGGAAACTTCTTGGCGAAACTGTCAAGCCCTCATGGCACCTGCTTGGACGAGATCATGTGAGCCCAGGAACGACTTGCTAAGTTGCAGAACGCCTGCCTCCTGGGCATAAACCCCTGATCGGATTTATCAGAGCTCCATCACCTGGAGAGGTGGCTGTGGCTCAGGATCCACACCGGAGGAGCTTTCTAAGCTGGCCTCGGTGCAGGACAGAGATCTATCTGCTCTTGGCTTCATCAAGGGTGGATTGAAGGGCTCTAGGCCTTTTGCATGCGACGGCTTATCGTGACCTTCGACATTACTAAACAAAAGACGATCGGTTGTCAGAGATATGTGGGTTCAAAAGCCTGTGTCCTCAGGCGCAAGGCACAAGGTTACGAACTTATGGTGTTCGTGCTGCATGCCTTCACTGCATCTTTCTCGAACCGGTACAATGCAAACAGCCGCATGCATGGATGAACCCATGCAGTCAGACAAATGCATATACATACATATATATATATATATACATACACATGTATATACACATGTTTCTGTATGTATCCATGTATGATGTACATACACAGAGACACGGTCTGCTCTGAGATTTAAACTCAGTAGTGCATGTCTTCTGGCAGTGACCGGCTTGTTCAGAGACGAGGGTGCCCCATGTCCCCCACTCTACTCGGCATAGCGACTACCTAGGCTTGCCAAGGGTCTGATCTGGAATCGGTTGCACAACAAGCCCGGGCCGACCCAACAGCCAACAGCTTCGTGCAGCTGCACGGATGTATGCTGGTTATGTCAAGCACCACCACAGTACAAATGGTCCAATGTAGTCTGGGGTGTCAGGATGTTCCGGTGATGGAAAGAATAAGGGGCTCAAACTTCACTTGGAAGGTCCAAGTGAACCTGTGCTCCGACCTTGGAGTGTCTTTCCCCGCAAGCCCGAAGGAACCCATACTAATTGCACGACAGCAGCACTACGCAGATTGCTTGATGTCTGGAGCCCAGGGTTTGGGGCGAAGACCCTGCAGGCGACCAGTGTGTGGGAACAAACACAACTTTCTGAAATCTCTACCCATCGGAGACCGGGGTGTTCAACTCACGAGGTTCCGGCAGCGCTTTCTGCGGCATCAACAACTGGCAAGTGCAAGTTCTTTGTCTGCAAATCTTGCCACTCTACATAAACCAGCGGCTACATGCTCTGCATCTTGGACATGATGGACATCCACGTTCTGGCATCCATGCTATGCCGGCGCACCCGCAACGCTGCAGAAATGCCGAGGAGCATGGTGTCACCTGGGAGATATCCTTACTTACCTGAGATGCTTGTAGCGAAATGACTGACTCACCTGTCGAGATGGTCTTGGAGTGGAGAGACGATCACGTCAGGAGATTAGGCGCTGCGGGACCTTTATGACAAATCTGGAAAGAGGGAGGGGTTTGGAAGCTCGATCTGCAATTTCCTATTTCCTACACTCTGAATCACGAAAAAAACCACCTCAACACGCCGGGGCCAGAACCATGCTGGGCCCCAGGTATGCGGTGCACGATGGTCTGTGGGATCTTCTCCTGTTGAAACCCGGTTTAGTGGCCTTTAGGATCTAAGGCTCTAAGGGCTTGCGGCTAAAGGGTGAGTCTACGTCTAGGCGCACATAAACCATTCACTCCAGCCGGAAACCATCCGTGTAAAGCTGCCAAGCCTTCGCGATCCAAGACAAACACAAAAGTTGTCCTGGAGCCACTCGATGCATTCCACAGGCCTCAGGTTCTGAACTTTACCACACCTTAAGGTTGAGGTCACGCTTCGGGGTCCTCCAAGGTCTCGAAGGTTCAGTTTGCTTGATCATGTTGGGGCTGTCGTGGGCTTTGTGTGTATGCGTCCTTGGTCTCATGTGTACCGGGCTGGGGCTGAGGGGAAGGCGCAGGGGAGTTGTAAAACATCACGTGGCGCAAGGACAGACTTGAGGCTCTGCCCTGGCAGTTTAGTCTCTAGGCCCGGAGAAGGAGCCTCGACACTTCATAGAATAGCTGGTGGTTTCCGAAAATAGGGAACCCTAATATAGTACCGTAAATAGTAGGATCCTTATTATCAGGACCCCAAAATAAGGTACCCCTAATTTTCGGAAACACCCAGTTCAGGATGTAAAATGACAAAGCAGGTCGAGCCTTCCACTGAAGTCCGGGCCAGCCCCAACCCGAACCCGGGTTTCAGAATTTCCACGCCAAGGAAAAATACTCAAACCACGAACACAAAATAAAGGCACACGAAATTTCTTTATGGCGGGTATATGCAACAAAAATAACATAAGAAATGTAGAACCCAAAAAAAGACGCCACACAAAATGAAACTGAAATAAACAATGCACACATTTTCAAACAAATCACAAACACGAACACAAAAAGCAAAAAAACACACGAATTCGCTTTAGAAGGTTTTGTGATGTTTGAAGAAAACAAAAGTTTTTTAACAACAAAAACAATCAATGGATCAAAAACGCAGTCGCAAACACAAACGAGGAAACCGAATAAAAAACCAATGAAACGAAACTTTGAAATAAAACTGCGCTCTTCCAGATTTCCGAGTGTGTAGTTGCCAATATTTCAGAAAATCAAACGGAGTGAAACAAAAGGAACTCTCAATACGCCCGCAGCGTGCACAACATCCAAGTAGCAACACTCCGAAATCCTCCGACCCGTAGTTGCAACCTTTCAGATAGACCGGTACGATCTTAGCATTGGCTGATGAATGCAACAACTGTATTGTGTCAGTAATAATGACAAACCTCGACGCACACTTTGTCTGCAATTACGCATGGCCCATGCTTGTACTTACAGACACTTCCACCTGCATGTAGATGTGCCTCAGGATGCACATGTTCGCGATCTGCCGCGCACTTGTCTTGTGACGGTGACGACTAAATTCCGCGTTGCCCCTAGGCACCTGGAGCCTGAGCTTGTGGCACCGTGGTGTCCTCATCCCCGTGCAGTAGCACCTGGCAGTGCTCCAGCAATGCCAGTCTCCACGAACTGTGTGCGCTATCTTGTCTGAATGTTGTACTCGGAACTTAGCCACATGTTTGGCGCGAGACATATGCCAACTGGCAGTAAAGGGAGCAATGAAAAACATGCTGAAGATGCCGAGAGCCTGACCAGGGAGCAGTCAAGGCTGGAGTAGTCCACCCCCCATGCCGAGGAACTCTCGACCTCTCTGGGCTCGAGGCACGGCATGGCACGGCTAAACTCGCCACACCCAACAGCCCCAGTCCTATGCCATATACCCTCAACCTTGCACCCTGAGCCCTCAACCATAAACCCAATGGCTCCAGTGGTCTGGACCCACCAAGTGTGAAGGGCCATGCATATTCCAAGCAATGCTCTTTCTTGTTCAAGAGTCCGCCAACCCTGCCACATCATAGGAAACTAGAACCCAGTATTAACACGCCATGCTGACAACAAGACCCGCCAAGTCCTCGACAGCACCTGCCCATGGAAGCCAGTATGTTATAATTACAGTAAGGAGCCCCCAAACTAGTATAGGTAATTATTTAGGCCCCTATAGTATGGTGCTCCACCCAAGGCCAGGACCAGAGTGGCCGCATCTGCCCCTTCACCGCCCGTCTCCTCGCTCTTTCGCGCTTGCTGGGGGAGTGTTAGCATTGTGGTTTACAAGGCTCCGCCGAGGCTTCGGAGACGAAATAACCCAAATTGAGTCGAGAAGACGACGAACAATAATTTTTGGCGGCCCTAGAGGCCACCTGAAGATCCAACCCTAATCTTGCATCCTAAGCTCCGAAGCACCTCTCAACAACATCGAAAACTTCTGCACCTGTCCTGGCCGAACTTGTTGGCCAATGTGGCGCAGCAGTCGATCAGAAGGGCGAGATCGGCCTCCATGATAGTCCGTATTTCGGTTGCTGTGGAAAACATTTGGATGGTTGTCAAAATTATGATCCCTTTTTGGGTCCCTATTATAATACGGCACCTATTATTTCGGGTACCCAAAAAGGGACCTTAATTTTGACAATCACCCATTTGGGAAGTGTTCAGGTTGTCGCTACATCTGGCAAGCTGTGGATGGCACATTCCGGAGCTTGGCCTGGCTGTCTTCGGGCGCATTCTTTTCCAGAAGCACTGCCTGGCTGTCATCGCATCAAGGATGTACCGTAATTCATGGTTTTGGCCGTTGCCCAGGCCCGGGGTTTAGCTTTAGCATGGGAACTGAATTCCTATCGTTTCGTACCCCGCTGTGATTGTACTCAAGTAGCTACTGTAGTGCTGATTGCAAAAGGACATGATGTCTTTACAGTTGGACACATTCAATTCCACACTGACATGCCTCAAGGCCAGAGCCCTCACAACGCAAACCTTGTTCTGAAACCATCGACCCAAACTGGGAGCATCATGAGCATCAGCTTCCATTGCCAATGTGAGCAATTCCTCAGGAGCGAACGATGTGAGCCTCAAAGTTGCACTGCATCTATCGACCCCAACGAGGGAACATCATGACCAGCTGAGATAGCCCTGAAGTCATCAAAGACCCGTTAGCCATGTCCTGATTGATCGGTACACTCGTACCGCGAGCATGACCATCAGCTGGCCTTGCCCTGGATCAGACACGCCTGCATGAGTACAGCCTTGCCCCGCATCCACCGACCCGAACCACGAGCATCATGAATGGTGAGCATCGGCCGCCCGGCTTTGGAGGTATCAACCCAATATGTGAGGATTGCCAATCAGCTGCAAGTGCTCATGGGCAGGGCAAGTCGGGGCAGGGCAGGGCAGGGCAGGGCACAAGTAATACAAGCATCAGCTGCGCTGACACAGAGGTTTGAAACCAGACCGCGTGCATCATCAGCATCAGCCGCCACTTTCCGTGCAATACAAGCATCCGTCCCGGAGGTATCAAACATGCGCATCAGCAGCCAATTTCCCTTGCTCCCTGAAGGCCATGAGCACAAACAATACAAACATCAGCCACATCTTCCGGGAGGTATCAAACCAGACCGTACGCATTATTAGCATCAGCTGCCATTTGCCTTGTGCTTTCAAGACCAGGAGCACAAGCAATGCAAGCAACAACCGCCCTGTCCCGGAGGCATCAAACCACACCGTGAGCAAGAGCATCAGCCGCCACGTGCCTTGTGCCTTACAAGGCCAGGGCCCACAAGCAACTCAGGCATCAGCCGTCCATCAACTGCACTGTCCAGGAAGTACAATCCAGACGGTGCGAATCATGAGCACCACCTTCTACAGTATCCCCCTTGTGCTTTGAAGGCTAAGCGCACAACCAACACAAGCAGCAGCCCCTGTCCTGGAGGTATCAAACTAAATCGTGCATATCATGAGCACGAGCTGCCATTGCCCTGTTTGTTTGAATGCCAGGAGCACAAGCAATACGAGACCGCGCGCATCATGAGCATCAGCTGCCACGTACCTTGCGCATTGAAGGCCAGGAGCACCAGGAACACAAAGCATCACCCGCCTCATACTTATCAAAGCAGACCCTGCGCATCAAGAGCTTCAGCTGCCATTTCCCTCGCACCTTAAAGACCAGGAGCACAAGCATTACAAGCATCAGCCGCACCGCCCATGAGACATCAAACCAGGCCGTGCGCATCATGAGCATCAGATGCCATTTGCCTGGAGCGACCGTGCGCATCATGAGCATCAGCCGCCTTTTGCCGTATGAATTGAAAGCTATAGCACCACAAGCAATGCAAGCATGAGCCACCCTGCCCCGGAGGTATCAAACCAGACCGTGCGCATCATGAGCATCAGCTGCAAATTTTGGGTGCCCTGATGAAAGCCAAGAGCACAAGTACCGCAAAGATATCAAGCCAGATCGGGCGCATCATGAGCATCAGCCGCAATTTGCCGTGTGTTTCGAAATCCAGCAGCACAAGGAACACAAGCATCAGCCACCCTGTCCCGGAGGCATCAAATCAGACTATGTGCGCCGTGGGCATCATCTGCCATTTCGCTTGAGACTGAGGCCAAGAACACAGAATATCGAACCAGACCTTGCGCATCATGAGCATCAGCTGCCATTTGTCGTATGACTTGAAATCCAGCAGCGCAGTCCTGGAGGTATCAAACCAGACTGTGCACATGTTAATTAAGCATCAGCTGCTATTTCGCTTGAGACTTGAAGGCCAAAAACACAAGAATGCGCATCATGAGCATCAGCTGCCAATTTGCCTTGTGCCCTGTCCCGGAGGCATCAAACCACACCGTGAGCATCAAGAGCATCAGCCGCCACGTGCCTTGTGCCTTACAGGGCCAGGAGCACAAGCAACTCAGGCATCAGCCGTCCATCAACTGCACTGTCCAGGAAGTACAATCCAGACGGTGCGAATCATGAGCACCAGCTTCTACAGTATCTCCCTTGTGCTTTGAAGGCTAAGCGCACAACCAACACAAGCAGCAGCCCCTGTCCTGGAGGTATCAAACTAAATCGTGCATATCATGAGCACGAGCTGCAATTTCCCTGTTTGTTTGAAGGCCAGGAGCACAAGCAATACAAGACCGCACGCATCATGAGCGTCAGCTGCCACTTACCTTGCGCATTGAAGGCCAGGAGCACCAGGAACACAAAGCATAACCCGCCTCATACACAAAGTATCAAACCAGACCCTGTGCATAAAGAGCATCAGCTGCCATTTCCGTCGCGCCTTAAAGACCAGGAGCACAAGCATTACAAGCATCAGCCTCGCCGTCCATGAGACATCAAACCATGCCTTGAGCGACCATGCGCATCATGAGCATCAGCCGCCATTTGCCGAATGAACTGAAAGCCAGCAACACAAGCAATGCAAGCATGAGCCACCCTGTCCCGGAGGCATCAAACCAGATCGTGTGCATCATGAGTATCAGCTGCAAATTTTGCGTGCCCTGATGAAGGCCAAGACACAAGTACCACAAAGATATCAAACCAGATCGTGCGCATCATGAGCATCAGCCGCCATTTGCCATGTGAATCGAAATCCAGCAACACAAGCAATACAAGCATCAGCCACCCTGTCCCGGAGGTATCAAACCAGACTGTGTGCCTTTTCGCTTGAGACTTGAAGGCCAAGAACACAGAATATCAAACCAGACATTGCGCATCATGAGCATCAGCTGCCATTTGTCGTATGATTTGAAACCCAGCAGCACGAGCAATACAAGCATCAGCCACCCTGTCACGGACGTATCAAACCAGACTGTGTGCACCTTAACTAAGCATCAGCTGCCATTTCGGCTGAGACTTGAAGGCCAAGAACACAAAAATGTGCACCATAACCATCAGCTGCCAATTTGCCTTGTGCCCTTTCAAGTCCAGGAGCACAAGCAATGCAAGCATCAACCGCCCTGTCCCGGAGGCATCAAACCACACCGTGAGCATCAAGAGCATCAGCCGCCACGTGCCTTGGCCTTACAAGACAGGGACCACAAGCAACTCAGGCATCAGCCGTCCATCAACTGCACTGTCCAGGAAGTACAATCCAGACGGTGCGAATCATGAGCACCAGCTTCTACAGTATCTCCCTTGTGCTTTGAAGGCTAAGCGCAAAACCAACACAAGCAGCAGCCCCTGTCCTGGAGGTATCAAACTAAATCGTGCATATCATGAGCACGAGCTGCAATTTCCCTGTTTGTTTGAAGGCCAGGAGCACAAGCAATACAAGACCGCACGCATCATGAGCGTCAGCTGCCACTTACCTTGCGCATTGAAGGCCAGGAGCACCAGGAACACAAAGCATAACAGGCCTCATACACAAAGTATCAAACCAGACCCTGCGCATCAAGAGCATCAGCTGCCATTTCCCTCGCGCCTTAAGGACCAGGAGCACAAGCATTACAAGCATCAGCCTCGCCGTCCATGAGACATCAAACCAGGCCTTGCGCATCATGAGCACAAGATGCCATTTACCTTGAGTGACCGTGCGCATCATGAGCATCAGCCGCCTTTTGCCGTATGAATTGAAAGCTATAGCACCACAAGCAATGCAAGCATGAGCCACCCTGCCCCGGAGGTATCAAACCAGACTGTGCGCATCATGAGCATCAGCTGCAATTTCGCTTGAGACTTAAAGGCCAAGAACATAGAATATCAAACCAGACCTTGCGCATCATGGGCATCAGCTGCCATTTGTCGTCTGACTTGAATTCCAGCAGCGCGGTCCTGGAGGTATCAAACAGAGTGTGCACACCTTAACTAAGCATCAGCTGCCATTTCTTGAGAGTTGAAGGCCAAGAACACAAAAATGTGCACCATGACCATCAGCTGCCAATTTGCCTTGTGCCCTTTCAAGTCCAGGAGCACAAGCAATGCAAGCATCAACCGCCCTGTCCCGGAGGCATCAAACCACACCGTGAGCATCAAGAGCATCAGCCGCCACGTGCCTTGGCCTTACAAGACAGGGCCCACAAGCAACTCAGGCATCAGCCGTCCATCAACTGCACTGTCCAGGAAGTACAATCTAGACGGTGCGAATCATGAGCATCAGCTTCTACAGTATCTCCCTTGTGCTTTGAAGGCTAAGCGCAAGCAACACAAGCAGCAGCCCCTGTCCTGGAGGTATCAAACCAAACCGTGCATATCATGAGCACGAGCTGCCATTTCCCTGTTTGATTGAAGGCCAGGAGCACAAGCAATACAAGACCGCGCGCATCATGAGCATCAGCTGCCACTTACCTTGCGCATTGAAGGCCAGGAGCACCAGGAACACAAAGCATCACCCGCCTCATACACAAAGTATCAAACCAAACCCTGCGCATCAAGAGCATCAGCTGCCATTTCCCTCGCGCCTTAAGGACCAGGAGCACAAGCATTACAAGCATCAGCCTCGCCGTCCATGAGACATCAAACCAGGCCTTGCGCATCATGAGCACAAGATGCCATTTACCTTGAGCGACCGTGCGCATCATGAGCATCAGCCGCCTTTTGCCGTATGAATTGAAAGCTATAGCACCACAAGCAATGCAAGCATGAGCCACCCTGCCCCGGAGGTATCAAACCAGACCGTGCGCATCATGAGCATCAGCTGCAATTTCGCTTGAGACTTAAAGGCCAAGAACATAGAATATCAAACCAGACCTTGCGCATCATGGGCATCAGCTGCCATTTGTCGTCTGACTTGAATTCCAGCAGCGCGGTCCTGGAGGTATCAAACAGAGTGTGCACACCTTAACTAAGCATCAGCTGCCATTTCTTGAGAGTTGAAGGCCAAGAACACAAAAATGTGCACCATGACCATCAGCTGCCAATTTGCCTTGTGCCCTTTCAAGTCCAGGAGCACAAGCAATGCGAGCATCAACCGCCCTGTCCCGGAGGCATCAAACCACACCGTGAGCATCAAGAGCATCAGCCGCCACGTGCCTTGGCCTTACAAGACAGGGCCCACAAGCAACTCAGGCATCAGCCGTCCATCAACTGCACTGTCCAGGAAGTACAATCTAGACGGTGCGAATCATGAGCATCAGCTTCTACAGTATCTCCCTTGTGCTTTGAAGGCTAAGCGCAAGCAACACAAGCAGCAGCCCCTGTCCTGGAGGTATCAAACCAAACCGTGCATATCATGAGCACGAGCTGCCATTTCCCTGTTTGATTGAAGGCCAGGAGCACAAGCAATACAAGACCGCGCGCATCATGAGCATCAGCTGCCACTTACCTTACGCATTGAAGGCCAGGAGCACCAGGAACACAAACCATCACCCGCCTCATACACAAAGTATCAAACCAAACCCTGCGCATCAAGAGCATCAGCTGCCATTTCCCTCACGCCTTAACGACCAGGAGCACAAGCATTACAAGCATCAGCCGCACCGTCCATCAGATATCAAAACAGGCCGTGCGCACATTAGCTGCCATTTGCCTTGAGCAACCGTGCGCATCATAAGCATCAGCTGCCGTGTCGATTGCACCTGAATGCCAGGAGCAAAACAAGCATCAGCCGCCCCGTGCCGGAGGTATCAAACATGACCGTGCGCATCATGGGCATCAGCTGCAAATTTGCGTGTGCCTTCATGAAGGCCCAGGGCACGGTAACACAATTCAAACCAGACCGTGCGCATCATGAGCATCAGCTGCTCATTCGATTACGCCTTGACTGCCAGGAGCAAAACAAACATCAGCCGCCCCGTTCCGAAGGTATCAAACCAGACTGTGCGCATCATGAGCATCAGCTGCAAAATTAGGCCAAGAAAACAAGTCGCATCATGAGCATCAGCTGCCATTTCGATTGCACCTTGAAGGCAAGGAGCACAAGCATTACAAGCATCAGCCGCGCCGTCCATGAGATATCAAACCAGGCCTTGCGCACATTAGCTGCCATTTCGATTGCGCCTTGAAGGGCAGGAGCAAAACAAGCATCAGCCGCCCCGTCCCCGAGGTATCAAACCAGACCGTGCGCACCATGAGCATCAGCTGCCCTGTCGATTGCACCTTGAAGGCCAGAAGCACAACAAGCATCAGCCGCTCCGTGCCGGAGGTATCAAACGATACCGTGCGCATCATGAGCAGCAGCTGCAAATTTCCTTGTGCCTTGACGAAGGCCAGGGACACGCCAAGAACACATGTAACACAAGGGTATCAAACCAGACCGTGCGCATCCTGAGCATGAGCAGCTGATTTTGGTTAAAGACATTGGAATCACCTGCATTCAGCAGTCTGTCGGAGCTTCCTTCCGCTCAGAAGAGTTGAGCGTTTCAGTCCTGCCAACTCCGATTCTACACCAAAACCCCAAGCCTCACACCTGAAAGAGGACCGGACCGATTTCCACTGCAGCAAGGGAACGTTGTGACAGGTGAAGAGCAAATCAAGCCTAGGAAATCTCACAGCCTTGCATGGCAGGTCCGCAATGCCACTTCCCTGAAGCCTCTCTTAACAGAAAGAAAAAGAGTAAAACTTGAAACCCTCAAAGCCCAAACCCTCGAAACCGAAAACTCAGAGGGCCTGCGGTCCCTGGAAAGACTGGGTCATGGACGAGGTGCTGTTTGGCCTCGGTTTACGAGGTTTGGACAGCCACCTTGTCTTTGGGGCTGAAAGTTTTTGAAGCTTAGGGCGGCTTATGCTTAAGGTTCAAGGCTCCAGGGATTCGGGTGTATGGGCGTATCAGGGCTTCAAGGCAAATACTTGGAAATACCTGCAAGACGTCTCACCTTCTCTAAAATCAAAGAACAGTGCCTTCTGCATCCTTGTGTCGCGACCTTTGTTTCGGTAGAACGTATCGATGGGCGCGCAACCTCTCAACTTCGAGAGTTAACCAAGCCGAAAACTCCTGACCACATGTCCCTCAAGCTTCCCAGCATGGAAGATGTCGGAAGAGACGAGAAAGCCGTCGAAGAGGGCACCGCTCTGGTCCAGCCGGCCTCAAAAGATTTTTCCTGTTTGGGAGTTTGATTGATTTGTCATCCATTGTTAATTTCGGCGGGCCTAGGATTTGTAACGTTCTTTGGGTTTTGGGGGGACTGACTAATCAAGCATCATGAGTTTCGAATCAGACTTGTGTCGTCGCTGCAACTCTCTGCGGGAACAGAAGACAGACTGCCTATATCGACCAAGAGATTCTCCTAACGGCTTCGCAGGCGCAAAGGCACCTTTGAGTACGTGGATTCTTGTGTTCGTTTGGCCTGGGTTCAATTTTATTGCTCTGAGAGGAAGACTGAGGGCCTGGATTAGGCATGTGCGCTTTCCCAGCTATCTGGGCTTGAGACATCATGTTCAAGACTGAGGATACACTTGGCTTGTATGAGCGGGGCATATCTGACTGTATGGCAGCCTATTCATGCTGCGTCGGCAGGTTTTTGCAATGTGGCAGGTTCTGGAGGGTTGCGGACTTTAGGTCCTTTAATTGCTTTCGCCTAGCCCGGCGAGGCTTAGGCTTAAAGCCTCAGAGCTTGAGGCCAACTCCTCAAAGCTGTCTCCAGGCGCAAGGCGACAGCGTCTGCCAGCGTGGCAAGCATCGTTGAGGGAAGGCCTTGTCCGGGTGAGTTGGTAGGTCGAAGAGTCGGAGGATGTGTTCTTTTTAAATCCAGCAAACATCAGCAAACACACAAGCCGAGGCCATGGGAAGTGGGAGGGGCAAGGGCCCCTGGTTCGGCCCCAAGTACTGGCAGGGCGCTCTCAGCCAAGATAGCTTTGATACAGCACCTTGACGACCCTGCTTCCAAGATTTAGATCCTCAATGACTCAACCCCAAAGCTTGCACACAAGACTGAGACTTTCCAAATACATGCTTAACACACAAACGGGCCAGAGACAGGTAAAGGACTTGTTGCAGACATGTTGTACTGTGAACTGTAAACATTCACTGATAGCAGGCAAAAGCTGTTTTAAAGCAATGCACTTCCAAAGTATTTACACGCACACTCGACCTTCAAAGAACAGCGCACCCTTTAACGATGCTGTGTTAAAGCCTCTATACCAGCCCTGATCTCCCACATCCCCAAGTATGCGCCACAGAATGCATCTTCGAGGATGAAGCTAGGGTCCCCCGCTCGCGCTGAGCCGATACATGAGCTTCGCCCGTGGGCAGTCGAGAGGCGACACCCAAGCAGAGCAGCCGACCTTGAACAAATGAGGAATGCTCACATGCTCCTGACTTACTAATGGGGGCCCTGAGCTACATCTATCTACGGTGATGCAAGCGGGTCACTGACACACTTGCCCAAACTTCAGGAGGACTTGGGATGGTCATCGCTGTTAGCTCTCCAGTCCTGGGGGTTGTGCTTCTAAGGTTCGGGTTGCGACGTTTAAAGGTCAAGCTTCGGCATGTGGGGTCGTTTTTTGAAACTACTAGACTCAGTAGACCCGAAACCACACAACACGACCCAAGAGCGCTAAAGCCTGGGGAGCCCATAAGCGACTTTCGTGTGTCGATTCAGGGAACTGCAGTCAGGGGTGCTTGCTTCATTTCGCGCTCAAGGAACTGTATGACCGTAAGATTACTTCCAAGCACTCGAGCCTCCGACCAAGAAACCCCAAAATCCTGGAGTGCCATTAACGCTAATCCCGAAACTCCAAGATCTAAATCTAGGTTTGACACGATTATTGCCATGCACCCTGCTGAGAACTCTACTTCGCAACGGAGTCACAGGGTCATAAGGCTCAGCGCTTAGGATCTGTGGCCAGTGGCACAGACAGGCCCGAGGACATTGGGCGCCCTGAGCCCACGGCAAGGCGACCAAAGGTTCGTGCCGGATATCGTGCCTGCTAGCTTCCGCTATAGTGCTTCCAGGGCTAGGGCCTAGGGTGCGCCAAGGCGACCTCAAAACTCCAACACCCGGAATCTCCCGCCACCAATGCTCTGAAGCCTGATACCTGAAGCCCGGAATCCGAGCTTCTACAGGAGCTTGGGTTCCTGGGAAAGAAAGTGATTTGGAGGTGTGTATGAAAAATGGTGCTGGCGAGGCTGTTTAGTAGTGCACTGCAGGGTCAAGGGTTCCTGGCAGGCTCTGGCTGTCTCGGATTGCGGGCTTGGCATTTTACCCATACACTGCAGCTGCCAACGTGTTTTCATCACCGAAGTGCCGGACCCCCTACCCATGTCACGTCTCAATAGCCAGGCGTCCTCGGCGTTGCAAAGCGTAAGAATTCCGAGATTCGGAGTTCGATGAACCTGAAACTCCCGATCCGCCTCACTAAGCCCTGCCTGGAAAGCCAAGGCGAAAGGAGCACCGGCGCAAAGAAACAGCCTTATCCCAGCATGGATGACATAGAGTTTACCTGAACCTACTAGCGATCCTTGCCACAAGAGATGCAATCCCATGTTTCCGGTTTCAATGGTTACTATATACTCAGGAGAAGGAAAGCCGGGGACGGCAACAAGCGAAACAGAGCAGGCTCCAAGCATCATCACATCCAACCACATCAGCAATGGAAGGCGAACAGAACTGACGAGGCGGGCTCCAAGCATCATCACATCCGAAGGCATCCATCAGCAACCGAAGGGAAACAAGGCTGCCTCACATTGCCACAACCGCATCAGCAATATAGGGGATACAGAGATGGCGCCATCGCTACGCTAGCTTTCGTGATAAGGGCCGCTATGGCCGCGGCAGTCGTTGGAAATTGCTTCTACTCTCAAAAAATACACAAACCGATGCTTGCAAGCTTTCAGGATATGTGTTCCTCAGAAAAAACTCCGTGGAACAAAAGCATTGCTCGTTGTACTATCATATACTATCATGCCCCGTTCTATCAGGTGGATAAATGTCCTCTGCCTTCACTCAGGCCCCGCTATCTCAATCTCTCTCTCTCTCTTTCTCTCTCTTTCTCTCTCTTTCTCTCTCTTTCTTTCTTTCTTTCTTTCGCCTAGGCAAACAAGACAGGTATGAAAGATGAAAGTTGCAAGGCCCGCAAGGTTTCAGGGCAGCAATTGGTGGGGACTACAGTCAGTTGGTCAATGTGATAGCACCACTCGACCATCCACCAGCTACACCGCGTCATTTTCTTTTTGTGGTCAGCCGAACCAGTAAGCGCAAGTATAAAGTACAAGGTGTAGGACATTTGAATCTCTAAGTGTATCTAGCTACCTGAGCTCCGTGATCTCGGGCTTTTACGAGGGCAGCAACAAAAGCAAACAAAGAACTCAGAACCAAACGGCACGGTAAAGTCGTTAGTACGCCCACGGGGGAGTTTCCCCTGATCAGCATTGTCAGCTTTTGGTTGTGACGGAGTTCGCTCCTTCTGGGGTGCTGCACACTCACTAGACCGTGACTCTGCCTCTTCGAGGCCGTCGTCCTGGTCCGGGCTGCCATAGAAAATGGCATGCATCCTCCTTCTCCATGTGAGGAGGCTTGTGCGAGTCGCGTCGCTGATCGCTTCTCGGCCTTGGACTTCTGGATCGGAAGGCCTGTGTAGGAGCGTCCGAGGGAGAATCCGGGGGCGCATGATTGTTGGCGGGTGGCTCCCGACCTGAATGTCCGAGTGGGAGCACGTTGTTCATTGCTCGATTGTCGTTGTCATTGACAAGGAAGATGGGAGAGCCCCATATGGATGATGTCCAGGTGAACAAAAGTCCATGTGCTTCGGCCACCGTCGCCGCTACTTCTTGTTCTAGAAAAGGTATAGAACTCTTTCTAGTTGTTGTTGAGCACGCAAGATTTTGTAGGTGGTAGCGTCCTCCTGTTCTGGCCTGCAACTCCGCTGCCCGCTGCCACACCCTTGAGGTATAGTTCTGATGGTACTGGTAGGGCAGGTGGCGCAGGTAGTTGGGGTAGTGCAGGTGGGTCTTGTACTCGAGGGCGTCGCTGTCCTCCACTTGCTTTCGTTCCCGCCCCTTTGCGGGAGGCATTGTCGGCAAGGTCCCGGCGGCAAGGACCTTGCATCTCGTCTCCGGGCTGTGAGGCCTTTGCTCTCAAGGAATTTCAAGGATCGCTGTGCAGGTTCATTGATGCAGGCAGCTACTTCGGCAATTGCATGGTGGGGATCACCCTGAAAGATTGGAAATGCTCAAGCAAGTGGCGGCATTCGGATTTAAGCTGACGGGCACACCAAATGACTCCAGTCCTAGGGCCTGGCGGGGAGGATGCAGGTGCACTGGCTATAGGCTTGTGATCGGATGACGCACGGTCCCTAGCGCTGCCTACCTCAACCTGAATCCCTTTTGCTGCCACGTAGTCAATGCGACGGGCTGAGAGCTCTGGATTGTACGGGAAGTGCGAGGGAACATGCATCTGCTGCAAAGGCAAGTAGACGTCATGGTCTAAGAACCACTGGAGAGTCTGCTCCCCCCCGGCCTGTGCACGAGAGCGTGGTGTTACCGAGGACGCCCCCCGGTTGCAGGTAGGTCTCATTGGCATCTAGGCCGACGAGCAGGCGAGTGCATTTGAAGGCGGGCGCTCGTTCCCAGCCTTGCAGAGCAGATGCAGTTTGCTCAATCGTAAATCTGTGGGAACTGTGTCCCGAGATCAGACCGATGGTCTTTTTATCATGTTGGCGCAGGACTCCTGCGAAGGCGGCAGCCAGGCAGGTATTTGAAGATTCATGGGACCCCAAGGTGTTGCGGTAGGCAACCCCGCATCCACGCCATTCAGAGGACGCAAAGTGCAGTCGTGCCACTTCATCTTGATGCGGCACCTCTGTGTGGTGTGCTTCAGTGCCCGGACAGCACGAGCTTCTGTTGTTCATCGGTGCTTTCGGCAGCATGGTGATCTTGATGTCTTTGTAGGACATGTCCTTGAGAGCTAAGCAACTTCGCCCCCGCAACTTGTTTCAACAAATGCTGCACGTTCTCCGGATCAGGCACGCCCGCAGCCGCCGTGTAAGCGATGAAACCTGCGGGAACGGGCAGCCGCCTCACCGCTTCCAGTCAGTGCTGCCCATGGCACGCAGGGCCTGAGCCTGCTTCGCATGGATAAACGCACCACACCGGTCTGGCTGGACGTCGAAGATGTCAACTTTCTTCTTCAGCTTGGCAGGAAGTTGCGCAGTTTCCGATGGTCTTCTCCAGCTTGGGACAGAGCTTGGCCAAGTGATATAGTGCGCGGCGGTTGCCCTGCCAGTTTTGAGTGGCACCGTCACGTATGTTTTGGCGCAGTTCTTGGCGCCCCCAAAATGCAACGAAAATCGCCCCACCCTAGCTCTCTGCCACAGCCATGATTACGTAGGAGCTCCTGTACCGCGGAGCCCTGGCATCTTGGCCACCATGGCGTGGAACTGCTCCGGGCGATCTTGAAGCGCGCGGACCAAGGCGGGAATTGTGCGTGCCGCACGTACAAGCAGAAAAACCTCTTGGTGGCGAGGCGAGATTTCTTGTCCAGCCCGTGCGAGCCGATCATGCTCATGAGCGAGCCGCGGCAGCTACAGTTGGGCAAGCAAAGCGCAGCACCTCCCGCGGTTGAGTCTTTTGCCCTGTGTGCGACTTGGCACAAGGCATACCTGGCATACCTTTGATTGCATGCCAAGCTCTGTGCTGACATCTGCCAATGCCCAGAAAAGCCACAGCAGTAATCGCCAGAGCTTGCTTTCGTGCGTGGCTATAGGGCTTGCGCAGGTCTGTTTTGGCGGCTCTCTGGCTGAAGAGCGGGTTGGAGCTGCGCAGCACACCGAGGAAAGCTGCGAACACCCCTTCGTCCCGCTTCCGGATCGGGATCTGCAGCCCCTCGGAAAACCAGCTGTGCAGGCCCTTCGACAGCTCTCGCACACTCTTCTCGTCTGTCAGTGGTGCGACCATGGCGGCGCAGGGGGCTCAAAATGCGGAGTTTAAGATTTGGGGGTGTGGTCGGGGTTTAGGAACTTTTCAGATTTGGGATTTAAGCTCTGAAGAGAGTGTCTCCAGAAAGCTCGCCACATCAATCGCCACGAGATCACGAGATCTTCGCCAGACACGCTCCGAATCCGCAGCATGCCCATCGCTAGGAATGGCTCAGGATGTTGATCCAAGCTCTTGAGCCAAAATCTCTCTCTCTCTCTCTCTCGCTCTCTCTCTTTTCCTTGCTCTCTCTCTCTCTCTCTCTCTCTGCCCTCTATCTCTATCTCTTTCTCGTTCTCTCTCTCTGTTCCCTCTCTCTTTCTCTCTTTCTCTCTGTCTGGGCAATCAGTCGACTACTGCTATACTCCTCCTCCTCCTCCTCCTCCTCCTCCTCCTCCTCCTACTACTACTACTACTACCTCTACTACTACTACTACTACTACTACTACTACTACTACTACTACTACTACTACCACTACTACTACTACTACTACTACTACTACTACTACTACTACTACTACTACTACTACTACTACTACCGCATTGATGGTTCTACATCGTACACATACCCGACTCCCTGCAATGGATTGTAAGGGATGCGAGGGAGCATGCATCTGCTGCAAAGGCAAGTATAGACGTCATGGTCTAAGAACCACTGGAGAATCTGCTCCCCCCGGCCTGTGCACGAGAGCGTGGTGTTACCGAGGACGCCCCCCGGTTGCAGGTAGGTCTCATTGGCATCTAGGCCGACGAGCAGGCGAGTGCATTTGAAGGCGGGCGCTCATTCCCAGTCTTGCAGAGCAGATGCAGTTTGCTCAATCGTAAATCTGTGGGAAATGTGTCCCGAGAACGCCACTGAGAGGGCTGTTTGCTATGTGCGAGAGTCCATGTGTCGTTGTGATCGAAATGGGGTTCATCCCCTGAGGTGACAATCTCTTGAAGAACAATCACCTAAAGTACTGAAAGTGCAGGGCAACCCTGGAAGCCGACGAACAGATCAAGGACTTTGTCCGGGCTCATGCCGCCCAGGTTCCAGGACGCAAAGTGCAGTCGTGCCACTTCATCTTGATGCGTCACCTTAGTGTGGTGTGCTTCAGCGCCCGGACAGCACGAGCTTCTGTTGGTCATCGGTGCTTTCGGCAGCATGGTGATCTTGATGTCTTTGTAGGACATGTCCTTGAGAGCTAAGCAACTTCGCCCCCGCAACTTGTTTCAACAAATGCTGCACGTTCTCCGGATCAGGCACGCCCGCAGCCGCCGTGTAAGCGATGAAACCTGCGGGAACGGGCAGCCGCCTCACCGCTTCCAGTCAGTGCTGCCCATGGCACGCAGGGCCTGAACCTGCTTCGCATGGATAAACGCACCACACCGGGCTGGCTCGACGTCGAAGATGTCAACTTTCTTCTTCAGCTTGGCAGGAAGTTGTGCAGTTTCCGATGGTCTTCTCCAGCTTGGGACAGAGCTTGGCCAAGTGATATATAGTACGCGGCGGTTGCCCTGCCAGTTTTGAGTGGCACCAGCAGGTATATTTTGGCGCAGTTCTTGGCGCCCCAAAAAGCAACGAAAATCGCCCACCCTAGCTCTCTGCCACAGCCATGATTACGTAGGAGCTCCTGTACTGGACAGCTCACCGCGGAGCCCTGGCATCTTGGCCACCATGGCGTGGAACTGCTCCGGGCCATCTTGAAACGCGCGGACCTAGGCGGGAATTGTGCGTGCCGCACGTACAAGCAGAAAAACCTCTTGGTGGCGAGCCGAGATTTCTTGTCCAGCCCGTGCGAGACGATCATGCTCATGAGCGAGCCGCGGCAGCTACAGTTGGGCAAACAAAGCGCAGCACCTCCCGCGGTTGAGTCTTTTGCCCTGTGTACGACTTGGCACAATTACCTTTGATTGCATGCCAAGCTCTGTGCTGACATCTGCCAATGCCTAGAAAAAACCACAGCAGCAATCGCCAGAGCACGCACGAAAACTTGTCTACGTCCAGGACTTCTTGCTTGGCCACGTAGACATCCGGGTAATGCAGCCATCGTCCAGTGTGGACGGTTGGGAAGCGCTGTGTCAACAGGTATAGGGCTTGCGCAGGTCTGTTTTGGCGGCTCTCTGGCTGAAGAGCGGGTTGGAGCTGCGCAGCACACCGAGGAAAGCTGCGAACACCTTTCCGTCCCGCTTCCGCATCGGGATCTGCAGCCCCTCGGAAAACCAGCTGTGCAGGCCCTTCGACAGCTCTCGCACACTCTTCTGGTCTGTCAGTGGTGCGACCATGGCGGCGCAGGGGGCTCAAAATGCGGAGTTTAAGATTTGGGGGTGTGGTCGGGGTTTAGGAACTTTTCAGATTTGGGATTTAAGCTCTGAAGAGAGTGTCTCCAGAGAGCTCGCCACATCAATCGCCACGAGATCACGAGATCTTCGCCAGACACGCTCCGAATCCGCAGCATGCCCATCGCTAGGAATGGCTCAGGATGTTGATCCAAGCTCTTGAGCCAAAATGTCTCTCTCTCTCTCTCTCTCTCTCTCTCTCTCTCTCGCTCTCTCTCTCTTTTCCTTGCTCTCTCTCTCTCTCTCTGCCCTCTATCTCTTTCTCGTTCTCTCTCTTTGTTCCCTCTCTCTTTCTCTCTTTCTCTCTGTCTGGGCAATCAGTCGACTACTGCTATACTCCTCCTCCTCCTCCTCCTCCTCCTCCTACTACTACTACTACTACCGCATTGATGGTTCTACATCGTACAAATACCAGACTCCCTGCAATGGATTGTAAGGGATGCGAGGGAGCATGCATCTGCTGCAAAGGCAAGTGTAGACGTCATGGTCTAAGAACCACTGGAGAATCTGCTCCCCCCGGCCTGTGCATGAGAGCGTGGTGTTACCGAGGACGCCCCCCGGTTGCAGGTAGGTCTCATTGGCATCTAGGCCGACGAGCAGGCGAGTGCATTTGAAGGCGGGCGCTCATTCCCAGTCTTGCAGAGCAGATGCAATTTGCTCAATCGTAAATCTGTGGGAAATGTGTCCCGAGAACGCCATTCAGAGGGCTGTTTGCTATGTGCGAGAGTCCATGTGTCGTTGTGATCGAAATGGGGTTCATCCCCTGAGGTGACAATCTCTTGAAAAACAATCACCTAAAATACTGAAAGTGCAGGGCAACCCTGGAAGCCGACGAACAGATCAAGGACTTTGTCCGGGCTCATGCCGCCCAGGTTCCAGGACGCAAAGTGCAGTCGTGCCACTTCATCTTGATGCGTCACCTCAGTGTGGTGTGCTTCAGTGCCCGGACAGCACGAGCTTCTGTTGGTCATCGGTGCTTTCGGCAGCATGGTGATCTTGATGTCTTTGTAGGACATGTCCTTGAGAGCTAAGCAACTTCGCCCCCGCAACTTGTTTCAACAAATGCTGCACGTTCTCCGGATCAGGCACGCCCGCAGCCGCCGTGTAAGCGATGAAACCTGCGGGAACGGGCAGCCGCCTCACCGCTTCCAGTCAGTGCTGCCCATGGCACGCAGGGCCTGAACCTGCTTCGCATGGATAAACGCACCACACCGGGCTGGCTCGACGTCGAAGATGTCAACTTTCTTCTTCAGCTAGGCAGGAAGTTGTGCAGTTTCCGATGGTCTTCTCCAGCTTGGGACAGAGCTTGGCCAGGTGATATAGTACGCGGCGGTTGCCCTGCCAGTTTTGAGTGGCACCGTCAGGTATGTTTTGGAGCAGTTCTTGGCGCCCCAAAAGGCAACGAAAATCGCCCCACCCTAGCTCTCTACAACCATGATTAGGTAGGAGCTCCTGTACTGGACAGCTCACCGCGGAGCCCTGGCATCTTGGCCACCATGGCGTGGAACTGCTCCGGGCCATCTTGAAACGCGCGGACCAAGGCGGGAATTGTGCGTGCCGCACGTGCAAGCAGAAAAACCTTTTGGTGGCGAGGCGAGATTTCTTGTCCAGCCCGTGCGAGACGATCATGCTCATGAGCGAGCCGCGGCAGCTACAGTTGGGCAAACAAAGCGCACCACCTCCCGCGGTTGAGTCTTTTGCCCTGTGTACGACTTGGCACAAGGCATACCTTTGATTGCATGCCAAGCTCTGTGCTGACATCTGCCAATGCCCAGAAAAAACCACAACCGTAATCGCCAGAGCACGCACGAAAACTTGTCTACGTCCAGGACTTCTTGCTTGGCCACGTAGACATCCGGGTAATGCAGCCATCGTCCAATGTGGACGGTTGGGAAGCGCTGTGTCAACAGGTATAGGGTTTGCGCAGGTCTGTTTTGGCGGCTCTCTGGCTGAAGAGCGGGTTGGAGCTGCGCAGCACACCGAGGAAAGCTGCGAACACCTTTTCGTCCCGCTTCCGGATCGGGATCTGCAGCCCCTCGGAAAACCAGCTGTGCAGGCCCGTCGACAGCTCTCGCACACGCTTCTCGTCTGTCAGTGGTGCGACCATGGCGGCGCAGGGGGCTCAAAATGCGGAGTTTAAGATTTGGGGGTGTGGTCGGGGTTTAGGAACTTTTTAGATTTGGGATTTAAGCTCTGAAGAGAGTGTCTCCAGAGAGCTCGCCACATCAATCGCCACGAGATCACGAGATCTTCGCCAGACATGCTCCGAATCCGCAGCATGCATGCCCAGCGCGAGGAATGGCTCAGGATGTTGTCCAAGCTCTTGAGCCAAAATGTCTCTCTCTCTCTCTCTGTCTCTCTCTCTCTCTCTCGCTCTCTCCTTTTCTTGCTCTTTCTCTCTCTGCCTCTATCTCTTTCTCGTTCTCTCTCTCTGTTCCCTCTCTCTTTCTCTCTTTCTCTCTGTCTGGGCAATCAGTTTACTACTGCTGCTACTACTACTGCTACTACTACTACTACTACTACTACACTAACGGTTCTACATCGTACAAATTTCCGACTCCCTGCAATGGATTGTTCGGAACTTGGGCAGGGTCATTTATTGGGAGGGAGGAAGCACTTTTGAAGATCGTGAAGCATGAATCCACCGGAGCAATACTCCTAAAGCGCTCACTCATCAACAGAATAGCCCGAAACGGTGCATTCAAGGCTGGATTTGTAGTCCCTAGCTCCAATGCCTGCGACCCACAACCCCGCCCCCCCTACCCGATAGAACAAGCGGCAGCATCTAAGATCACGAGACCTGCACCCTGTCCCCTAACGCTGCAGCGCTAAAGTCGAAGCCTTACAACCTCAAGGAAGCTTTGAGGTCCCACTTTGGAGTGCAAAAAAGTGGTTCCGCGCACCAGCACATCTTCAAAGACTCGTCGACTGAACCCCGTTGAATTCTCCTGCAGTGTGTGTGTGTGTGTGTCCAACCTTCATGTGGCAGACAGAGATTTCCCACCCGACGTTACATAATCTGCATCTCAATCGTGCTCTGGGACTGAAGTCGGTTCACGAACCCTATGCCACGAACAATCGTCATAGGCTCCGCGCACACGAGCACGCTCGTAGCCCAAATGGTCCAAGCCTGGGTTTCTAAAAAGTTGTCGCCAGTATCTTCTCGCTTGAAACATAAAGCGGATGGTATCGTATGAAGCAATACCACAGCTATTCTGCATCTCGAGTGACTCGAGTGATGGGTGCCGCGTGAATTAGCCTAACTCGGCTGGGGACTATGCTGTGCTGTACTTTCAAAGTGGTGAAGTGTGTAATCATTGCGGCTCCCATACTTGACGTGGGTCATGTGCAGATCAGGATTGGGGTTCGAAGGATGGCTTTGACACAGACTTCAGCGCACCCTCCACCAAAGGCAAAGTCTTTGCTCCATCCTCCGTGTGTGGGGGCGGGGGGGGGCGACATGTGAACGTGTGCCGTGTGCCTGGGAGTCTCGGCGGCTCCCCTCAAGTCTTCGACAGGATTATGGTGGACGTTGCTATTGTGTCTGAAAGGTATGTGAATGATTGGTAGGTACTGAGGTGCAAGTATGCGGGCCTTAGTAGCAGCGAAGGTTTCTGCTGTCGCTCTGTGCAGAAAACTCCTGGTGACCTCGTGCTACAGTGCCCGCTTTGGGGGCTGGTGCTTCGGGCCTTCCGGCGCTGGGCATTTAGGCTCCAAAACTATTGATCTTTCACGCTATAGGATTCTAGACCGTGGAATAAGGATGCGGCATTTCACAGCATCTTGACAATGCGCGGCGATGTGATCGCCTGGGTGATGGAAAGAATTGCAAAGGTGCGGGTGCCGTCTACATGTCTCGTATGTTTGGGATTGTGGCTTTAGGGTGGAGGTCCTGCTCGAAGAGATCGACATGTTGTGCCAAAAGCCGATGTTCTCAACGGACCGGCTGTATGGCTTACAGCAAGGCAGGTTGTGAGAGAAGTAAAGGAGGCAAGCCCAAAGAGACCTTATTAGTTCGTTCAGCTGTATACATACAAAGCCGAGGTCCTTGCTGTCCTATCCAGGAAAACTTGCATCATCTTGCATCGGTGGCTCCACTGGGCAACACCAAGCTGTGCTGTGGTGACATGTCTGGGTGACGTGGGGCACTGACTCATGGTCCCTTGTCTCCTCCCCTAGTCACCTAATCCTTGTGCCAGCAGCCTCCGACTGGAAGCTCGAGTGGGCTTCGGGGCTGCCGCATGAAATCTCCGGAGGCATGCCGCATGCCTCAACAACTGAAACATCAGTGGTCAAAACCAGGTCTGAGAGCAAGGATGTGCAAAAATCTTCTCCAGCAAAATTAGAAAGGTCCTCGACCCTGAGCCCACGCAAGCCCTGAACACTAAAGCCCGAAGTCCTAAAGTCAACAGCCGGGGGTGAAGCTCACATTCCCGGTCTGGGCTGGCGAGGCCTCCCAGCTGGAGAAGCATGCAGCCGAGGAGGACATACGTTGCTTACGGATTGATTTCCCGGGTGTATTGCTGTGCCAGCAGAGTTCTCTCGGCTCTGAGAGACCCCGAGCCGCGTCTGGCCTACTCTTAGCCGGCCTGTGTGCAGAAATCCCACAGCGGATTGCAGAGGACAGTGATGCACATGAAGAAAAAACATTGTGCTTCGTGGCGCCAAGGAAGGATGGGAAATCGACGTGATGGCACGACTTCTGAGGAGCTCAGAACTTTCCAATCCCAGAGTTTCATTGTGGGAAGAGGCAGCAGATAGATGAGAACCTTACAGCATTCAAACCCGACATGGCAATGAAGGTGAGACCAACGGTTGGTGACTCCAGAATCAGGCACTTCCACTGGCAGGAGACCACCAAGCAGGGAAACAGAAAGCTTCTGAGACACGTTTGCAATTTGCTCGATCATTTGGGTATTGATACCGGCAACTACTCGAATCCTGGCCTCCGCCAGCGAAGACTGATAAACTTGGCCAGCGACACCCTTGAATTTCCACCCCGCTCCCATGGAGCCTACAACCGGCAGAATGGCTTTCAGTGAGATCTGTTTAGAAATCTGTGCCAACCCATGAATCAATGAAACTGTAATATCCATTCGTGGACTCGCATCGTACCTCCTATAGCCCTTGCGTAACTGAGCAATCCTTCTCTGGACAACCTCGTAGCAAGAGCGAGTATTCTGAGCAATTCCTCCCTAGCGCCTTGCCCATGCCGGGCCGGTTTAAACCTTGCGAAAACGGCTGGAGGCTTCGAAGAGCTTTCAGATTGAGGCCGTTGTGATCCGTTGTGTTTGCCTTCAGGGGTCAGGCTTTGTGGTGTGTGGCATGCTGGACCCAGCTGGTTCTTCTTGGTCCAGGGCTGGGCTAGGCTCACGTCTTGGAGCTTGGCATACACTTTGACATGAGTGTCCACATGCTCAGGGTTTACGGCATTTCTACGACTTGTTCTTTGATCTCCCTGTGGCCATCTCATTGCGGCAGATACGCAGCCAAATAACCTGAACATCCTTATAAATCCTGCTTTACACCCTCGCCTTAGACCGCAAATCCGAACGAATGAAAAGGGAGTGGCATCCGTGTCACCAACACCGTCTATTTGCATAGAGTTATCCTCGCTCATCCTTTTTCTGTGAAGACGTTTGTCTTGTTCTACGCTTATGAATGTAGATACTTTGCTAGTGCCGAGCTCTAATACAACAAGTTATGACAGCAGTTCAAAGCGTCTTGGCAAGGATTCAAGTTCATATTCAGCTTTCAGGAAGTTCTTACGAATCAGTTCCACTGCACTAATGCATCCTAGATGATGCATCAGATCGAACACCAATCATCTCCGTGAACATACAGATACACTCTCAAAACGAGCTGACTCGAAAGACACCAAAGGAAATCTCTGGGATCTGAACAGCAATCCTTGATTCACCAAAATAGTCCCTTGACCCCGACATCGTGACCTGCACAGCTAACACCACACCCCAAGCCGTTTAAACTACAAATTCCAGTGCAGGTGCGGCGCATATTAACCGGGCTCCAGCACGCCGAGCCGGAGTTGCAAACACAGCTGCCAAAAAGCGGCACGCGCCTATTTCAGCGGCTGCAGGGATGGATTTAAATGGAAGATGGGGAATCGGGGATAGCCCGACGTCGCGGTCCCTTACAGGGGTCCCCACAATTTCATGTTGACTGTGTGGTTCGTGGAGGCATAGAGAGCAACCCCGAGCTCTACTCCCCAGACCCCAGCCCTAACATCCCGAACAAAAACCCAACTCCTGTCAAAGCCTCTAAACTTCAAAGGCTGACGTAGCCGGAGAAGAGAACCGACCGGGGCTGAACTCGGCAGTCTCCAACACTGAAAGCATAGTTTTGATGCGGGTTCATAGGGGTTTGGGGTTTGCGATGCCCTTAACCTCTTCAATTCGTTGAGGCTCTGTCGTCCAGGGGCTTGGTGACTTAAAACGGACGTGATGCATACGGCAGTACACGAGCGCAAAGGAACAAGGGGTACTGGGGCCAGCACTTATGACTCGAACTCATGACAGATGAAGCGACTAAAGTTGACTACAGACTGCGGAATGCTTGCTGCGTTTCCATATGACATGAGGAACCATGCTGCGTCGTCTTTTGCCCAAGGCTGGCACCAAGCGGGTAGAAGAGGAGGACAGGTTCCGCTCCTTCCTTCATTTCGAGTGTCACGGGTGTATGTGTCAGATTGAAGAGTTGAAGCCTCAGGGCCTTTCGGGCATGACTTGTCTTTTGGCATTTAGGGTCCTCCATTCAAAACCCGCAAGCAAAAACATCCGCATGACTCCAAGCATAGCTTCAGCCCTCGAACGCCCGCTTACGTGAAAAGGCATCCGCCTTGCCACTTAGCCAGGGGTTTGGGGTGGAGCTTTTGGGTTTTGCGGGTTTGGATGGGGCTGATGCACCTTCAAGCCCGCTATGTCCAAATCCAGGTCAGACCTCTAGCTGACCCGGCGTAAAGCATGAGAAACTGAAGCCAACCTCTTTCGCAAACCCGGGTGCAAGTGTCCTCGCCCACGAGCGCATACTCGATCTGGCGCCCTTCGACCTTGAGCAAAGGTCCGTTTTATGCTGGCCTGGCTTTCTGGCCAGCTGCATACTGTTGCACACTCAGCTTCAATCCAGGTGAGTACTTCAGCAAGTCAAAAGATAAATACGAGCACACACACACACACAGAGACGCATACCCACACACGCACATACACAGTTACGTACACATACGCACAGACGCACAGAGACATCTACATACATACGCATACACACACACACATATCTTTATATATATATATATATATATATATATATACACACAGAGGCATATATACATACAGACATCCGTAATGCCGACTTCAAGCTCGCTGTCTCCCCTGCGCCCCCTCCGGAATCTGAAGTTGCGGCTGTTAGGCTGTGGAGGCAGCTGTCCTGGGTTGCGGTTGAGCGATTTGCGGCTTCGCGAATCAGGGAGGCAGAGAGATACTTCGTCTGAGCAGGTAGGGCTCTGGTTCTTGGATTGGGTTCTGAGATGACCGGTCCAGGTCCAAGGCTCGAGTATTTCATGTCAGTTTGAATGCTCAGGAATCTCGGACTGAAAAGGTTGTTATATTGTGTGATTTAAGGCCTGCATCCAACAAAAGCCGAAGTTTCACACACATCTGCGGTGAGATAGGGCTTTCGTGCGAGAGAACAGGGCTCAGCAAACGGAACTGGGCTCAAGATCCTGAACACCCTAAGCCCTATAAGCCCTAAACGGCCCTCAACCCAATGCTGCCCTCCTCAGATGAGAGTCATGAAACGTGTGGAGCGAAGAGGGAGAAACAAACTTCAACGGTTGATAGACAGAGCACACACACCCTGAACCTCAAGTCCAAAGCCCACAGCCCTAAAATCTAAAACTTTGGAGCCTGAAGCCGTACACCTGGCACGCAAAACATTCATGCCCCAATCTTGAAAGGCCTGAAGTCTTAAGTCATCAGCCCTAAACGCATCGAGTCCTGTCAAGCTGAAACGGATTGTGACAAGTTGGGCATAATATAGGTCGGGTTGAGAGATTCAGGTTTATGTACATTCTTCCAACCCCAAACAGGATCTGAGAGCCCTGCGAGGAAGGCCCTATCCAGGACGTGGGGCATAGTATGGAAGCCACCAACGCATCGTTGGCGTGCAGTGGCTCTGATCAAGGTGGTTCGAGATCTATGGTTTTGTATCTTCAGTTCTTCATGTTGTAGGGTCTAGAGGTTTCGGGGTTTAGGGTTAATCCGTTCAGCTGCGGTGGATAGGGTTTGATCGTGAGAACACAGAATGACACAGAATCTGGACAAGGTAACCTGGAGGTGCTTGTGGTTAAGGAATACCTGCCAATTCGTTTCTGCCGGCAGATGCATGCAAGCCAGAGCGAGCGACAGTACGGATGTTGGCGAATGGCATGCCAGCTTTGCAGCCCGGAGCGATACAGTAACTGATCAGAACTTGACATCTGGCCCCGACGTAACCTGGTAGGACGCCAAAGTAACTAGCCCTCAACGGCAAACGTTCATGTGCAGGCCCTGTGAGGGTCATGGGTAGCCAAGGTGCAAGCAGCAACCTGGTGCCGTATGCATTTATGAATACACATACACACACACACACACATATATATATATATATGTACATCTACAGTTATACTTACAAGATCCCCCACGAGCCAAAGGCCTGAATCCTGATTATTGATTAATAGTGTTCCAAAAAATCCGAATGTGTTCCAGAAAAGCGTGGGGAATAGTGTTCCAGATTCGAAAGTGTTCCGAAAAGCAATCCGAGAGAGCACCCTTGAATCTGAAAGCTTCCGGCTGGAAACACATCTTGGAACACTTTTTGGAATACTTTTTCAGCAGCAGGTCATTGGCGGACCGCTTTTTTGAGAACACTTTTTGGAATGCTTTTTGGAATGCCTTTTCGGGGGCCCGTCCTCTCTAGATCCAGGTCACAAGCATTCCAAAAAGCGTTCCAAAAAAGTGTTCCGGAAAGTGTTCTGCAAAGCGCTCCGTTGGAATGCTTTTTGGAACACTTTTTGGTCAGAGGGTCCCCGTGGAACGCATTTTGGAATACTTCTCAGCTCTGCCTCAAAATCAGAATGCTTTCCGCACGTTTTTCAGGAATGCTTCTGGAATGCTTTTGGAACACTATAAAAACCGATCTACCCCTCCCTTTCTTTAGCCCTCGGGATCTTGTAAAATTATACATCGTATGTATGTATGTTTGTATGGGTGGGTGGGTGGGTGGGGTGGGTGGGTGGAAATACAAACATACGGAATACGCACCGCGCAGACATACTCGCACAGAGACATACTTACACAGGCTGTGTCTGTTGATGAACCCAGCGAAGACAGACCTCAACCCTAAATTCAGACCTCTCCTAAGAATAGCAAAGGGCACCGAGCTGTCTGCAGCTGCATTGCCCATGCTGTAATTCCAGCCCATCTCCTCAATTCAAGGTTTAGTGTCTAGGGTTTTGTCGGTTCCTCCGCGTTCGGGCTGAGGGCGTCCCCCTCCTAAGGATGCAAGACCGTGGGTGTAGTTTGGAGCATTATAATTATAAATATTGACTATTGATAAACTAACTGATTATGCTTCGGGGGCACTGTTCACTGTATACTGCAACAACTCGCTGGGTAGCAGGTTGCACAGGTGCCTGAACAGCATGCCCAAACGCAGCACGCTAGACCGCTTCTGCCCAAAAGCTCTAGCCGTATCTAAGCCCTGCCGCAAACACAAAAGCCACTGTCTGCCAGTATGGTACGGCCAGGCGGAGTCACATCTTGTAGCTTAAACCGAACCTTGCCTTTCGGTGCCGGTTAACAAACAGAGCCCCTGTTTTCCCTGCGATGTTTTGTGGACTGTTAGTTAGTACACGCCGTCACGGTGTACCGCTCCCAGCAAAAGCCACGACCTGACTAGACTAGACCATGAATCCCAAGCCCGAACTCCTACAAAACCAGGACAAACACCAGAAGGATCCTGAAGTGCGGCTGCCACATCCGATCGGAAGGCCGGTAGCTGAGCCTCCTCAGGTCCTGTCCTTGCAGGTGTCGGGTATCATATGCAGGGATCTTCGCATTTAGGTGCAGTATAACAGTTTTAGGGTATGCAATGGAGTTTAGGGTTGTAGGGTTCAGGGTTATGGGGTCTGGGGGGTCAGGTTCAGGATTTAAGGGCCGGGCCGATGCAATTGGAATGTCAATTTCAGTGCACATGCCGCTGTACAAGGGCTAGAATGAAGGGAATCACATCAACTAGTGCTGGTGCAGAAGTCTCCTGTAGTTCCTCTACCATGGTGTGCTATGGGGGAATAAGTGTCAAGGCTTCGGAGAAATAAACCTTTTATGTGGCACCCCTAAAAAACTGTGAAGACAGGTGTCTGAAGCTGCATGGCCTCATATTTTCGTTCATACTGCGCCAGTCGATCCAAAAAAATACAAACCCCGAGAATCCCACAGCTCTGAGAACAAACTGACTAGCCCTCGGTGCAATGGGGCTCGTTTAGTGGCTGCATAAGGCATTGACACCACGGCTTTACAACCAGTTTGTGGGCATCGCCAACACCTGTGGCTTGCGGATGTGCGCCGGACAGTACTGAAAGGAGGCTGGGAATTCCAGGACAAACACTTATAACAGTCTGAAGGAATATTAAGAAGGCCCTACGAGAGCTGAAGATAGAACCAAGGTACAAAACGTCCGAAACACCCTGAAATTGAAAAGGGAACCCGAAGGCGGACAAACTCTAAGAGGCACTCATTAAAACTCTTGCACAGCACATGAAACCTGAACGGAAACGCACTCCGGAAGTCAAGTCATTGCGGTCCTTGTGCATGGCTCGGCCGCCGCTGCTTTCACCTTTTCACAAACTTCCCGAGCCAAGCTCCAAATGCTAGGGCTTACATCGAAGACCAGATGCAAAAGTCGAAAACTCGAAATACGCAGCCCTCTAAACTTCCATGCTGTGAACCGTCTTTGTTTGGGAGATCGAGGCATGGGAGTCTTAGGCTGGGATTTTGAAGCCTTTCTTCCGGGACTGGGGTTGTCGGCATGCCGGAGAGTCTGGCTTGCTTTCCAAGTACCTGGGCTAAAAACCTTGAGGTGCACCTCGAATGCAACCCAAGAGTCAGAAATCTCAATACCATCTTTGTGGCAGCAGCCGTGGTTTCTGCTGCGCATCGTCGTTGATGCTGTTGCTAGTGCTTTTGCTGCTACGCTGCGCGGCTATTGCAACGATATCATCGCTAGATGCCCAGGAATCCCGAATCCCGAATGTAATAAATCCAGGATCCACCCTGGCTGTACCCTCAAAGCCGTGCATAGCATATAAGGGGGCAGGCCGGGGTCGAAGCGAAGCCCATGAGCGCGAACTCAAAGCTCTGAAACCCTCGAACCTCGCCGTCTTGAACACTTGGCCTCGAACCCTGACCTCCAAAGCTTAAAGCAGCAACCCGGAAGTCTAAACCCCGGAGCCCTACACCTAGAGGCTCCTAAACATGGAAAAGGGAGCCTAGGGTTTGGGAGTTCTGGATTTAGGACATCGGCCGCCCTCATCATTCACGAATGTGTCTATTCATGTCCGGACACATGATCTCGTTTGTCCTTACCGGTTTATTCAATGCCAATGCTGCTTCATCCTACCTACTCAGGTGCTTGTCAATCTATTTACGCATTTGTGTGCTTGCTAATTCTCGCCACGTGTCTGGTAAGTGTCTTGGCTATGTCAGAATAGCAGCCATGATGCGATGACCTAAATTTGCACAGTATATACAACGAAACACTCATATAGTATATACAACGAAACACTAATAAACTCAGATAAATCAGCAATGACCGCAGCAGTCATAATACTAAGAATAACGGCAACTATAAAGTGTACCAGAGGTCCTGAACATGAAACCCTATGCTAACAGCATTTCAGGAAGCCTGGTCCGAGCACTGGCAGAGTGCCACGACATCCGGGACCTGGCTTTTGTGCGCAAAACACTTCGAGGGACTTCGATGGAGAGCTGAAAATAGAAACTTGAGATGTAAAGTATAGGCGCATATAAATCCCCTTATAATAGAGCCCCATAAGGTAGGGATATACCGGCCCCAAAAAAGGCTTCTGCTTACGTGCTTTTTTGGCCCCTAAAAGTTGGTTCTTGGCCTGGAGGCTCGGGGAGGGCTTGGGTCCCTCAGCCGCCCGATTCAACAAGTCCTCTGACTCCGTCACCAATATTTGTCACTCCAAAATATTCGATTTAACTCTCTGCATCCTTGAACGCATCATCCCCGGACCCTGGAACTAACTACTCTGGGAGTCTTCGTCCTAGCCTGTGGTGGTTTGCTTGTGTGCGTGGGCAAACCTTCCAGCGTTGTATTCTTGCAGCTCGTCACCCTCAGAACTTCATGAGGACCTTCTCACTGGCTGGGGACCTGGTTCCCCCAGAAGCAAGGCGTGGTGGCATGGCACGAAAGAGTCGAAACAGGGGGCTCGGAGGGTGCAAACCACAACCGAAAGTGCTGCTGATCCTGAACCGAACTGTGAGGTGACCGTGGCCATGGTCATGCTGATTTAGGATGCGCTGTCAATGTTATCTAACATTACGCTTTTACCATTTCTCTCTCTCCCTTGCCATGATCCTTGTCGCCGGGACCATCTTGTCTGTAACACACGAACTCTAGAACCAGGTATAACAGTATAACACGTCTCATGGGCCTATGGGGCCTATGAGACATGCGCCAACCGTGCGAACCTTGAGCAAGACAAAGTCCTACACAAATCCTATAGACTCTCTGAAACTCCACAGAACCCAGGATAAGACCAAATACAAAAGCCGCAAACCCTCAACCCCAAGCAAGCACGAGAACGATGCCTCCGTCACGCTCAGCTCGGCAAGCTCCGCCCGAAGTCGCTGTGCAGCAGCGGGGGTCTCGGCCGACAAGCTTCATTTACAAGTATCAGAATGCAGACTTTTTCCATCGAGTGGTTCGAACACATGCGTCTCGAGACAGGTGGTAATACGAAGGGGGCACCATCCTCATCGACGTCTGTCGTGACAGTCGTCGTCGCCGCCGCAATGGTAGTGGTATAGTCTTATAATGGTATAGTGCTGGTGGTAGCGGTGGTGGTAGCAGCTTTGGCAGCAGTAGTGGTAGCAGTAGTGGCAGCAGTAGTGCCGGCAGTATTAGTAGTAGTTGCAGTAGCAGCAGTGGTAGTAGCAGCAGCAGGAGTAGCTGTAGTAGAAGTAGTAGCGCTGGTAGTAGTCGTAGTCGTAGCAGTCGTCGTCGTGGTCGTAGTAGTAGTAGTAGTAGTAGTAGTAGTAGTAGTAGTAGTAATAGTAGTAGTAGTAGTAGCAGCAGCAGCAGCAGGAGTAGTAGTAGTAGTAGTAGTAGTAGTAGTAGTAGTAGTAGTCGTAGTCGTAGTCGTAGTCGTAGTCGTAGTCGTAGTCGTAGTAGTAGTAGTAGTAGTAGTAGTAGTAGTAGTAGTAGTAGTAGTAGTAGTAGTAGTAGTAATCATAGTAATAATATAGTAACCGTCGCAGTAGGAATAGTACTATAGTGGTGGCTAGTAGAGTATCATGAGCATCACTAGCACCATTAGCAGCCACCGTCACCGGCTGCCCTTTCGGATGGCTTATGCGGCAAAGCTTCCATGGGAGTGACGACTTGGGGCCAGGTTTTTGTTCGGGGCACCTTGACAGTTGAAGGCGCGGCTTAGGTGAGAACATTTGGTGGTCGGGACTCCCCGCAATGTTGGGGGTTCACCATATAAAGAACAAATCGATCTCGTTCGTATCTCCTGGTGAAAGTTCCTGGCGCGAATCAGACGGCACAACAACCCCACCCGAACGCCTAAATGGCAAGTTCAAGGCCTCCAAAATCAGAAATCCTCAAGCTCCCAATGATAAGATGCTGGGAGCTTGGCCGAGCTGTTCCAGAAAACGTAATCCAAGAAACTCGAAAATGATTCATACTGCCTTTCAATGCAGAGCTGAGATTGGGACTAGGGAATCAGGAACTGGTGCTAAAACATCGACACAAAGAGTTTACCGACTTTTCGAACCTATCTCTATAACTTGCGAAAGGAGACAAACGAGCTCGCCTGAAAAGGAATTATAAAGACGAGATCTGCGCAATCCGGACTTAGAGCCCACCTTTGGATGAGTTGGAACCCTGTTGGAATGTTGGAACACTCCTGAAGTGAAGTATCCAGTAGGTCAACTAGTGGATACAGAAGAAACCAATACAACACCGCTACATGTCAAGGCAAGCACTAGGCCAATCTGGCGGAAACAACAGATGGCTAACAGAGATACGCTCAAGACTTCCATTCTTTCTGTCTACTTGTCTACTATGTACCTGCCATGTACGTATGCAGATGAACACACATATGTACGAGTACTACATCGAGTGGCAGTCTGCCGGCATGTTTCGTTCGCAGACACAAGCAAAGGATCAAATGATTCATATCTGATAATTGCAGAACTTGGACTGCGCAAACAGCTCCAATTCCACACGTCAGGGCTGGATAGGGCGGGTAGCTAAAACCATGCAGATCCCTCGTGAGGCTCCTGCTTCCAAAAAGCACCCTAAGCTCTTACTCCTGAACAGATGTGAGTACCATATGATGACTCCCGTTTGCCATGCTAATGAGCTCCGCTTGCATGTCTGCCTTCTACCACTATAGTTACATCATAGGCCAGAAAACGTGCGCGGAAGTGGCCTGTGGTAGCCAGCAACGGCGAAGCTCCACCCAGCCTGCTTAGTCCGGCTGCAGGGTCTATAGCAGATGTCAGCGATTCAAAGTTCATTTCTTTCTTGTTGAGGCCACCTTCAGGCAGAGCCGTTAAAACCAATAAAAAGCTTTCGAACCAACCCCAATGCATCCCAAACCATACAGGGCATACTCACACGGCCAAATAGCCTTGACCCTATTTCAAGTACTTAAGCTCCTGTAACCGAAGATCCCAAGCTCGAAAGCCGGGAGGGGGACGGGGGTTGGGGTTGTGCGGGCTCTGGCTAAGGTATTCTGGCGATTTTGTATATGAAGCATTCACCCTAAACCATTCATCCTAACCCCTGGCCCTTGGAGCCTGCCTTGTCTGGTACCCCGAAATCCTTAAATAAAATGCGCACCCCCCAAGTCCATCCGCTGTTGCTGGCCTGCGTAACAGCGATATTCGTGTCACGCTTGGACATGTCGAGGCTCTCCGCCTGTCTTGAAACCAGGGTTTCAGAGTTTCAGGCTTTGTTCTGACGTTGGGCGAAATCCTCCCTGAGCCTTGCATCGGGCTGGTTTCAAGTATCTGACTAAGTTAAGGACTCACAGTCTCCAGACGGGGCCGAACTGGAACACAACCAGGGTCTAACAGGTCGCTGCATTACTTATTCAGGTTCAAGATCTGCTAACCTCACAGACCCTAGTGCAGTGTAATGTCCGACACAGAGACCACACACAGGGATGGCCGTCGAGGTCTAGGCTGTCAACATCTGGGTCCAGCGGCGAGCCCCGAGCGAAAGTCTGGAAACCAGAACTTCCCGGTACTGAAGCGATGCTTCTGAGTCCCCATGCTCTTGCTGAAAGCCACGCAGAATGCATCTGAAGATAAGACTTCTGCACGGCAAGGGTGGGAACAGCTTCGGTACCTCGAACATCTCCATGATGCGGATGTACAGCGCATCCAGGAGCTGTCATAAGGCTTAGTGACGTCGTGAGGTTTAGGCTTGAGAGCTGCAGTTGCTTCCTTCCGACAGTTGCGGGAAGAGCGGGCTCTGGCACAAAAGCAGTAATTAACATGAACATCGCAGGTCCTCCTTGTGGATGAAGCCCATAGATGCTGCTGCCCAAGCAACGGGCGCAATGTCCTCGTGCTGGTGCGAGGCTGTGTCTAGCATGTATACACACGAAGGGATTTGGAGACATCGCATGGGAATTGGAACTCGGGAAAACTTCGAGGGAGCTTCAGCAAGAAGAGGTCCATCACTCAACCCCCGTGCTTGTCTGTGGAAATTGACAGCTACTGCTGCAGTGCTAAACATCGTGCTACCAGCTATACGCTGTATCGTCGCTGTAAGCTTTTATGTGCCGGAATCGACATGGCAGGGGTCTCGGCGGGTAGGGGTGGGCGTCAGGTCGGGAGGGGATGAGATGGGATGAGGGGCAGCGAGTCAGGGAACACGGCAGGGCAGTGGTCGGCCAGGCAGTCGGCAAAGTAGTCCCGCACATACTAGACATGTGCGTGATGCATCATTATCGTGGCTCTAGAAACATAGCATCCATAACAATCCTGGAACAATGACCATATTCTGAACAGATCAACCCCCGAACATTACCCGCGAACCTGATATCTACAGTCCGGCACAAGTTGGGCTCAGGTGAGCCGGTGAGCTACTGCTCAAGTTCCCCATGCAGGTTTCAGTACACCAGTACATAGTTTGGGGCCCTGAACCTATGCTACAGACAAACAGATGCCCATCCCTAAAAGGCCCAGGGATGCTCAAAGAAGGCCTCGCTTGTTCCGGCCTTCAACTCCTTGAAGAGACTGGCTTCGGAAAGGAGCAGCTCTGCTAGATTCCTCCAGATCGGGCTACCGTGCCCGGTAGATCGAGAGTCCGCAGTGTCGAACGAACTCTGCCAGGATTCCAGTTGAAAGCAATCGTGATTGAAAGAACTTGCGACTCAGAGCCGGGCGCATAAACTGCAAGGACGGATTTCAAGATCTCTGCGGTGCGAATTCAAAGTCTTGCTGTAAACGCTCTGGGGTCCCTCACTGAATACTTCAACGACGAAGGTAGGTTCAAGTCCGAAGCTTTACATACGGCGACTCTTCTGCAGGCCCATATCTTGAAATAAGTGTGCTGCAAGTACCAATGCACACAGCTCCTTGACAGACACCAATCATGAGAAATGTCAGGCTTCACGTTTACAAGTCGCAGAGTGGCTATTCATGAGGGTTTTGCACTTGCTACACCTGCTGCCTTGATTTTAGAAATATGTTTCTGACAATTCGGTATGTGTGCACTTATATATTTATATACACACGTACACACACCTGTTTATTCTTGTGCAATGATTGTGCATGTAGGGTTGTGACTGCGCTTCTTATTGGTACAGGTTGGAACCTTAACCTCGAAAGACTTCTGGACCCTCGCCTGTAAGCCGTGTCATCAAAGAGGCTCAGCTTCGCAAAGCCTTGGCGGAACAAAAACGCACGCTGAATGTTATCGGTGACAAGAGATCCCAAAAGCCAAACGAACGCTTTGATTCCGACTCCTGCATTGGCGTTAGGGCGTAGTCACTTACGGATTCAAGCATTCGAGCTTCGTTGGGTATGCGTTGGATGATTATTCGGCAGCTCTGCACAATCTCTAGATTGTTTGCCGTGCCTCTGACATTCAGCAAGGGGCATTAAATCACCTTCTAGATCTACCTAGCCACAACGCCACACCTCTAGCAGAATGATTGTCATGCCCACATATGCCCACGTCGATATCTTCGCCACAAAAGACGTCTCTACAACACTTGAACTGCTGCTGCACTGAGTCCGCTTTGTTTGAGGAGACCCCGCCATACTAGTAGCACAAGCGACACTTCGAAACCCCGACACCCCGCAGACAGAGCGCCCTGAACAAAAGAAGGGACCGCTACACTAAACCCGGCTCAGGGTGTCTGCTTGGGTTTTCGAGCTCTTAAGACAGGCAGCTTTCAATCAGCGTGCACTGCTGAAAGAAGGAGACCTCAGCGCTTTGACCGACCCTGAAGCTTGTAGCATCCAACAGTCCGAAACTGCATGTTGGGGGGTTGGAGAACTCAGGGCCCGTAAATGGCTTGGACTCAAGCTTCCTGGGGTTGCAGGTTGCATCTGTGGGTCTCGTGTGAAGATTGCTGGTGTCGAAAGGCACGAGAACGCAGAGGCTTACGGGTCCGGGGCTCCAGGGTGTGTGTGTGTGTGTGCGCGTGTGTGTGTGTGTGTGTGTGTGTGTTGAGGTGGTAGCGAAGCTGCGCACTTGAACTCAACTCGCAGCAATTAAAGGACACCAACAAGCGGGACATGGCTGCCGACTTCGGCATGCCAAAGCCGAAACCTCACCCCTTGAATCCATCCAGCCCACTTAGTGATGATGACAACATTAAGCATCTCAACAGCAGGCATAATCCTGATTGCAATGATCCAATATAATATACTACTTTTGCACAAGAAGCAGGTGAAACCTGGTCATAGCTTCGGAAACAAAGTTAGACCCTAATGAGCCTTGTCCGCGAACGTCTTGTCCCGACAAAGCTCCAAGGCCTTGAATCGATCAAGCCGGAGGGTTGAGTTCTCAGAGTTTAGGGGCTTCAAGCGGTGGGGCTTTGGCGTGGAGGATTTAGGTTTAGGATTCAGTGATGCTAGCACATGTATGGCACTTGCGGACACTCTGACGCAGCTTGGAGCCCCTCGGCCGATGGAAAACACGACAAGAACGGTAACGCTGGAAGTAAGACATGCAGTAGTTGTCGCAGGCTTGCCCATGAGCAGACTAAGGAGCAAACGACCACACAGACAAACAGAGAAGATCAACAAACTTAAGCCTAGACCGAACCCTATAAGCCTGAACCCTAAACTCTAAACCATGAACCCTCAAGCCCTGACCCTCAGCTCAGAGCCCTGTGAAGCCTGCATGCTCTAAACTAAATCTCCAAGGCTGCAACGCGCAAAGGCCACGTGGCATCTTTGCACCTTGGCTCTTGAAGTCATCTTACAAGAGAGAAAATACATGTGCATGCATGCATACAGTACATCTGCGTTGTATGAATGAACAACATGTGAATTAGAGGTGTGCAGATATAGATACATACGTGCATATATACATACAGGCATGCATACATATGTACATATATATATATATGTATATAGAGATCTAAGAAGTATACATCACATAAATAAATGTACAATTATATATGTATGGGCCTACGGTAGGGGTGTGTCTCTGTGTGTATTCTGTCGATGTCTACGTCTACGTGTATGTGTCTGTGTTTCCGTCTGTGTTTCTGTGTGTGTTTTGTGTCTGTGTGTGTCTTTGTGTCTGTGTGTCTATGTGTCTGTGTGTCTGTCACTGTCTCTGTCTGTGTGTCCGTCCGTCCGTCTGTCTGTCTGTCTCTGTGTGTATGTGTGTGTGTGTGTGTCTGTCTGTGTCTGTCTGGCTTTGCCTGTGTCTGTCTGCAGTTGTCTGTGTCTGTCTGTGTGTCTATCTGCCTAGCTGGCCATCTGTCTGTCCATGCACAGATAGAGACAGCTGTGTGTTCATGTTATATATATATATATATATATATGCATGTGTGTGTGTGTGTTTCTGGGTCTATCTCAGTGCGTGCGCGCGTCTGTCTGTGTGTGTGTGACCCTTTCGCACAACAGCTTCAACAGGTCAAACCCATTCTAGGATTCGCGAATCAGGGCTAGGGGCATGCCACGATTACATAAGGATCATGCTAGTAACTAGCAGATATTGTTGGGAACACTCCTACAACACCCTGGTCCAAAAGCTGGAATTCTCTCCGACAAGCAAGTGGAACAGACCACTTCAACGCAAGTTGGCCACTTGGGCCGCGACTTCATGTTGGCCAGACTTCGTGTCGCAGACACCCACAGCATCACCTCAAGTGCAGGGCTTGGGATTTAAGGGATGCCTGGAGTTCAGGCTAGAAGTTTTGCGGGTGGCGGCGGAAGCAGGCTGGAAAGATAGATGTTGCGACATCACTGCATAACTGTATTGGGCATTTTGGGAGCACTGGCGTTTGACCAAAGAGCAGCTCTCTAGGTACTTTGTCGGCGGCAACGATTTTAAAGCCCAGGCCGGCAAGTCACATCGGAGCGGTGCCGAAAACCTCTATTCAATCGGAATTTTTACAAGTTCAACTTCATTACAGTTGTGTCTCGTGCGGTCAGTACAGATGATGGTTTGTCACACTAGTCTGTTCTGCGGAATGGCTGATCTGGTTCATCTTGTGAGCTGGCAATCGGAGATGGGTGAGCAAGAGCTTGTAAGCAATAGCAGTAGCATGGGCGCAAGGTCTGCGCACCACGTGCTGTCTGTAAATCCGACGTGCACAAAGGGTGTGCGCAAGCTTGCCTCGGGCCTGTCTGTTTACGAAGTGGCTGTTGTCCGTTCTGCTGGCACAGTACTGATCGTAACCTCGTAGCTGTCGTACTACATACTCGTATGGGGGGCTATGACCCCCTTGCTCGGCTGGGACTGAGACCGTTCGTCCGAATGCCGTCATGAATGAATGAATGAATGAATCCTACTAGCACCATGAGTAAAATGTAGTGACGGCATTAGTGAGCAGTAATTAATAACTATATACTAAATTAAATGCAGATCCCACCAAACTGACGCTTGGAACACGGACGTAAAGTGGACACGACGGCGTGCGCAAGGGGCAACCTCCAACTTCGACCCATCCTCCATGCTTTTTGAGTGACAGTCAAGCCATGCTCGCAGCTCGGGCAGCGCGCTCAACATCAATGTCAACAGCAGCTTGGTGCTGTCATGGAGCCACATTGCGAACAACAAAGCCTCTAACGGGCAGTCACTACGGCAGCCTTGCTGGCCAATCTTATGGCACATCCTTTACTTCGCAGCCTTGCCGCAGTGGTGCAAGGACCTGAAACGTGCAAGGGCGCGCGCAAGGGCTTATAAAGCCTGAAGCAGGCTCAAAGGGCCGCGCGATGCTGCGCGTAAGGGACAGGCTGGCTCTGCGTCAGCTAACCGCACCATAAACACTGAAGGGCTGGCTAGCACATATTCAAGGCTCTCTCGTGATCCCTGTTAGTCAAAGGCTTCCTATGGTCCTATGGGTTCCTGAGACTTGCCTGAAGCCGAGCTTCTTTTAAGTCAAGACCCGGAGCTGTCATCCAGAGATCCGAAACAGCAAGCCTTCAACTCCGAATCAAGACTTGTCCGCATCTGCAAGCAGCAGATGTACAGCAGCACAAAGAACAACAGCAACGACAACTCTGTCCTGTCATCAAGTCTCTCCACTCACGGCACAAAGCACCAGACATTGGAGGCCCACCTCGACACGGATCTCTACAGCGCGGGAACGACAAGGCCCCTGCGTTGCCGGTGTATTTCAGCTCCACCTGAGCCATGGCATACAGGGGCCATGATCAGGAGCATGAAACTTGACGACCGGGCTGAAGCCTGATCTGGAACGGATCTGTAACTCCGAGAAACCCAAGCACCCTTTTTGAGGGATGACGGCCGTGAAGCAAGTCTTGCCCTCCTTGAACCCCCTCCGAGAGCCCAAGAGCCCGCTCTCTCCAGCTTCCTCTTCAGTGACTTCGGGGCTACGGGCACAGGGCTCACCTCGCGCTCCACCAAGATGGGATCAAGCCGACCTCGCTGTGGTAAGGGAGTCTAACACGCCATGCTTTGGAGTTCAAAGCTTTTCTGGTACAGCAAATCCTGGAACATCTGCACCTCGGGCTGTTATACCATATGGCGCAGTAGAAATGGCAACATAGTCGCGGAGATCGATGATTAGCTGAACCTGTGCCGGTCTGACCGCAATGTGCACACGGGGACTGTTCTTTATTGTGGTCCCCTTCAGCATCCTTAGTTACTGTAGAATCTTGAGGAATACCTTGCCACAAGGCCCACCTGTCCTGTTTGATCCACTTGCTCCGGCTCCATCTGGCCCTCAAAACCCTTTTCAGAACTGGGTGGTTTGGGAGGAGGAAAATGCAGATTTTGCGCTGCCCTATATGGAATGGGTGCCTTTTGGCACAATCGTGTTTTGCAGCATGCAAAAGCAAGGGGTTCCCCGACTTCGCCGCTTGTGTCAAGCTGTTCGGGAACTCGCCATGGCACGAAGGACCAGATTTCCGGCCAGAGAGCTGCCGACCAAATGGCAAATGTCACACGATACCCAAGAAAAAAAACAATGCCTGGGCGGGCCGCGCCCAAGGAACATAGAAAACAACCCCCAGCCTCACAAAAAACAACGACACGCACCCAACAACACCCGCGACCCCGAAACTCCAGTTGTGAAGCAGTAGCCCCTGAAACAGCGAAGAAATCCAGCACCAAACCCGAACTGCCTCAATCCCAAACCCTGACCACCAAACCTGAAAGCCTAAAGCCCTTCACTCAACCCCGGGGAGCCTTAAAGCCTGATCCGGAAAGACAAAAAGGACCCTAACACAAAAGTACCGAAGCCTAAGACATGAAGCCTCCACACCTGGAATCCAAGAATGCCGACCCCAAAGCACAAAAACAAAGTAATGCAAGCAGCTGACCCTCTAAACAACTCGACCATGTACACCCAATACCAGAGTCGACAACCTAGGGACCTCAACTGGTAACCTCAACGCATTTCAAGCCGTAAACCTGCACCCCAATCGCTGAACAGCTGGGAATACATTGAGCTTCAAACGCAGCAAGTCAAACGGCTGCATCGACCAGGAAGCAAAGTTGTCTAAGGCATCCACGACCTGACAGCTCTTCAGGAGTAGCCGAAACCTACGTTTAGGCACCTTCAGCATTTTCTGGTGTTAGGCTTGTGCTTCAGGCGAGGAATGTTCGCTTTGAAGGGGAGAGGTCTGGCTTTCGGGCCCCTCCTCAAGTTGCCAAGAGAGGTTTCAGAACTTTTGTTTAAGAGCCCCTAAATGGGCAGAACAGCCCTAAGTAATTAGTGTGTCGTGACCTTGTTTGGATGTGCGGTTGAGAGGCTCAGGATCTAGGCATGTATATAGAGCGGGTTGGTTTCGATGTTTGTTGGGCTTACGTCCGATATGTCTAAGTATTTCAGTGTGCAGTGCGCACAGTGCCAGGGACAGGTGATAAGGGTAGCGCAAGCTGGTGATGACAAAGCTTCAGGCCATCATGTTGGTGCCAGCAGGGATGATGGTCGTGACGATGACTGTGGTGATGACGAAGGATGAGAGTCACGATTAGCACCGGCTTCAGGATCGAAACTCGAGCACTCGGTCAGGTGTCGCTTCCCAACCTCCACCACACAAAGCCCAGACAAGTCCTTCGGGTGCAGGGATCCGCATGGAATTTCCGAGGATTCGGGATGGGTTCACGAGCGTACAGTCTGTGAGCGAGCCTGGCTGGTCTGCGTGAGGAATACGGTTCAGGCATATTCAGGTTGTGTGTTTTCCGGGAGCCTCAGGAAGGCGTCCAAGCCCCATAGAACATGGGGGCTCACTGTTCAAATGCCCGAAAAACTGAAAGGGAAAATAGCTGGGCGTCCCGAACGAAACAAAACACAAACCTAATTCGCTCCAAGCAAGAGCAGAACTGGGTTTCACAAATTCGGAACACAGCGTTTAGGTGGCTCTACAATGACTGGCAACCCCTCCTTTGCCTGCACAGCAGGTTCGTCATGCTAGGCACATCAGGCTAGGAAACCCTACCTCAGCAATGGCAAAGTCTCCCGTCCATCGCCGGCCCTTCACATCCGGCCCAACATATTAATTAGACTTCGGATGCCCGGCATAGTGATTGGACTTCGGTTGATGGCGCCCTACTAATCGTGAGACTATGTGAGACTCTCAACTAGATATAAACCAGAAAACCTAAACCATCCACGTGCTGAAGCACAAATGCGAGTATCAACCCTCATAGACACCTTCTTCTGAAGCCTCTTATGCACAGAAATGTTTTCGAACTTTAACACATGCACAGTAAAGATGCTATTAACGGCCCTAGTAGCAGGCCTCCACCTGCGCCCAGTGAATGGCGATGGCACGCACCAAGGCATTCACCTTCGCCCGGGCCGGGGTTGGGCCTTCAGGAGTTCAGGGCTCATGGGTTCTGGGTCCATGAAAGAGGTATATGGAGCCGGGATCCGTGCGAAGTTTCAGGGCTACGCATATCTTCCTGCGGATCCCCCGCTTGCCTGGACAACGCAGTGTACAAAGACCTTGTTATGAACTCGAGTCTAGATCCCGGTGCAAACGCTACCGAACTACAAAACCCACGTCCCTAAAGTGTGCCTGCATAAGCAACTCCAATCTATGACAATCAACTCGAGACAAATGCCGGGTGAGCAACATGCATAGAAGTGATGTCTTCTTCTGGTCAAGCCTTCCCTCCTACTTGCTCCCCGCTCAACAGCAACCGCAGCTAGGCCGGTGGCCCCCGTGTCACGCCGCTAGCAAGTTTCGGCATCGTGCATGCCATTATTAGCCAAACACCGGTTCTAAGGCGCTAAATCGCAAACCCTACACCTCCAATGCTCAGGGCATCTCGGGGCCCACAGCCCAATCCCAGTTGCTACACACGGCCGCTTGTCATCTGTTACGGTGCAGATCAGGATAAGTTCCGAATTTCAGGGGGATTACGACAAATACCATTGTCGAACACCCAAAATGGCAACCCATTGTGAGACATGCATGCTATGACTATGATCGAAACATGGAATTGTTGTGTTCGGAACTCCTACTAAGTCTTCAAACCGCGGTATCGCGTGTAGCCGCGGATTTGCACATACCGCAATTGGCTATAGTCTGGACATGTCGAGCTTTGACTGGCCGTTGAACATACCAGGTTCCATCCTGCATCCCCGCGAGACTCACGGCACATCCAAACGGTCAACGACCACTGACCATGTACATCAAAGCAGTCCCAATTACCGAGGGCTTGTCCCCGCCCAAGCACATGCTTCGTAAATTCAATGCTCATGATGCGATCAGATTCAAGGCAGAAGTGCTCAAGCTTACTTCGGGGAAAGGTCGACAACATAAAGTAGGAGCTTGACAAGCTGCGGCATTAAAGCAGCATTAGCATCATTGAGACACACGCTCGCCGCGCACCTGCGGTTTGCACTTTGGGGTATGGCAGGTGTAGCGCAAGCAGCTGGCAGCCTGGAGCAAATGCTTCAGGGCTTGAGGTCTCTGAACCTGCACACTTGTCTCATGTCCTCAGTCCAAGCTGAAAGCCCTGGTCTAAGCCTGGAGTCCCGAAAGCCTAAGGCTCGAATGAAAGTTAAGGGCAGCGTCTCCAAATCATCTAGATGAAGCAGAGGGACCTATGAAGCCGACAGACAGGCCTCTTGTACGTAACAATAATTCGACTGGTCATGCAGGAACCTGCCATCTTTGGAACATGCTTGTTGGACAGATTGTGTAACATGCCGGCAATAGCGGCCGAGCAAAGATTCGTTGTAGAACCCTTGCAGACCCTTTGCTGCACAGTGGGGCAACGTGGACGAAGTTGGCCAAACGACGCCGAAGAATCGGAGAACCGAAGTTGGAACGCCCTGAAACCTTAAATCATAAGCCGGGATCAGCAAACTGGCAGAGCGAGTTTCTCGAACGCTCCGACTAGGTGTTTCTGGTGAAGCTTACATTCCTGATCAAGAACTGCAACAAAAGTTGAAAAGCCAAGCACCGGCGAGTCGCAAGCATGTCTTACATGAGGGATATCAACGACATGTGGGCTCACGGCACGGGGCCCTTAGGAAGGCTCATGAAAGCTCATTCCCAAAGTAGCGAATGATGCACTGGTGAAAGAAACATCATTCCAGACATCGACAGACCCGACATGCAGATACGCATAAACGCTGAGCATATAACAAACAAGCAACATTCTTTCAAAGACGACTGAGGACTGAACACCAACGGTTACCGGCGCCTGCCCTCTTCAGGGCAACATCTTCTGAAAACCCCCAGGCGGTGAACAGGTCTCTGCTTACGGCACTGCTCACAAAACTGTTGACCCCGAATCTGGAAAGAATGACTGCCAAACAAGCAACAAACAAGCACATACAAACAGATAGAACTGTCAAAACAGGCATGTATATATATATATATATATATATATATATATACATATATATATATACACAGGCGTATACATACATTACAAGCAGCATTACCGGCAGAAAATGAACATTAAGGGATACATGTACCTTCGCAAAAAAGCCTCCCTCTCCCTCTATATATAAATACAGAGAGAGAGAGAGAGAGAGGGAGTGAGAGAGGGAGTGTGTGTATATGTACGTGTATGTGAACAGGCAGGGGCATACACACTTATGTTTGTATACATGAAAATAAGCACGAAAACAAACATGCGGATAGATTTAACGATACATTTGAAAACAAAGGTACAGATACAGACAGACAGCTACAAAGAATGAAGGTCATATCGAAAGACAGAAAACAACGATACACACCATATATATATATGTACATGTACTGAATGATTTCATGTTTTGAAACATAGCTGAATACCATGACACAAGAATGCATATGTATGTATATACACATACATACATATATGCATGAACGAAAGTGCAGGCATGCCTACAGACAGACGGACGAACGGACGGACAGACACACCGACCGAACGAGCGATCGACAGACAGACAGACAGACAGATAGACGGACGGACGGACGGACAGACCGACATGCGTGCATGCATACCATGCCTCACCTTACCTTACCTTCCTATCCCTTGCCATGCCATCCATATACCCATGTAGCATACATCCATACATCGGCACATCCAGACATCCATAAACCCATGGGTCCATCCATGCATGCATTCAAACGTACATATGTATATATATATATATATACACACACGTACATTCATATGAGAGAGTATGATTGGGGCTGCCCTGCTGCAAGGTTCTGGGATAACAGGCTCCTACTTGTGCCAAATTCCAAACCGGATCCTCGTTTTGACACAAATCAGAGTGATGACTGCCAAACCCTCAGACACCACCGAAGTTTCGGCAGTGCAGTAACAGGCTGGAAAGTCCAAGCTTGCAGGCACTGTGAACTGCCAAATTACGTATGACGTGCAGACATGGATGACCCTGAGACACGACGACCACATGGGTTCTTAAGTTTAGGGCTCAGGGCCTAAAGTTTAGTTTAAAGGTCTCAGACTACGGTGCCCCTGAACACAGCGCACTGGAAATCCCTAAACTCCAATCTGTCCTCCGCCAGCATAAGGCTCGGGAGGCGTTCGAGCATCAGTGTGCAAAGATCCGCCTGGTTAGTTAAAGTTCATGTCTTCGGGCGGTCTGCATTTGCTGCATTGCATGGAGGGACCTACAAAGTATGAGCGCTTGGAAGGTCCGAACAAATGTGAAACTGGCGGAAAGAGTGGACGTTACAAGCGAGTATTCCAATAGTTGCGCAGGCAAAGATGGATGCCGTCACATGGATGAATTCTGTTCGGAGGCACACTTGTGCAAGTCTGGTCACTCGTTGCTGCTGCTGTCTTTGCTGGTGATGGTGCCATGTCCCGAAGGTGGTCTAGCGTGTAATAGACAGCGGTGTCTCGGGAAAGGTTGTCTTGCAAGCGTGCCAGAACTGTTCCTTACCAAGTTAGGCACACTGTCTGGCACGTCGAACAACCAGCTTTTGCCGCTCGGTGTATGGAAGCTACTGACAGGCTCCACTCCTGGACCGACGCCTTGTGGATATCAACGTAGACCCAAAGTCGTCATGTGATAGAATCCCGCCTGAAGCTATTTAAAGCTGTTCCGTCTGAACAAGCGACCCATGATTTAGTTAGCAGAACCCTTGCCCATTTTGGGTAATAATACCACCAGTCAACCCATTAGACGATTATTCCTATACTCCCCCCTACACCTCACCAACCATATCACTACTACTCCCCCATTACCAATAATGCCAATACCAGTATAGAAAAAACCGATTACCTCATCCATATAAGAGGAATATTCCTATACTCCCTACTACAATCCCGCAAATATCACCACTACTTCCCCATTACCAAGACCAGTATAGGAATAACCAATTACCCCATCCTCCCTAAGGTGGTATTATCATCCCGAAATGGGCAAAGGTTCTCTTATAGATTTTACTAGGTTTAGTTTCAAAGGTTGTAGTCATAATAGAATTACATTCCATAAACTCCTATGAAATGTAATTACATTATACTTATGTTTTTAACTCATGTTTCCTTTTATCATTGAAACTCACTTCTTTTCGTTTGCCGTTGTATGCTTTCATTTCATCAAGACATTCACAGCAAGTAACCGTGGTTCTATACTGCATTAAATACCTACCCGTTTTAGAATAATAATATCTTTTGAAATGCACTAAATTCTTCAACTTCTTACATCTAACACATTGCCGATCACAATGACTAGGATGACGCGCGGCAGAGCCTCGCGAGCATTCGCGACACTCAGTATTAAAGTCCATGGTTATCTCATCAACAAAAATTGTCATACTCTATTATTTTACAATATCTATCATAATTCATTAATTATGACAAACAGCGTTTCAAACTAATTAACCATTACCATGTTCTTTTGACATGCTTATGGAAGGCACACTTGGGAAATGGGAGAAATGCTGTATGTGGGGCGCTGTCATTCTATAAGTAAATCACTCTTTACAACATTATTTTAGCAATTCTTCCAGCTGATAAAACTCAAACAACAATTTAAATCGCTTCTTATATTCTTCATAATGATAATGATCCTCTAGTTCATCTATAATAGCACTAAATCTGGCGCTATACATTCTGATATTTCTTCTTTCCGCCAGCCAATCTGCTTTATCTTCTTTGTTTTCTTTCTTAGGAAACAAACAATCCATATCTATATTATTATACAATTTTCTTATCAATTTGAAACTTCAATTCTTCAATTTCGACTTCCAATCGATCGATGTCGTTCTTAACACATTCAATGTCTGTCTCGGTCATTTCTATTCTCTGTTCGCATTCCTCGGGTGTTATACCATGAGTTCCAAAACCAGTATCACATATTTCAACGCTTCCTGCTTGATTATCATTTTTGAATATGTGGTTTTCATCGGGTGATACATGTCGTCCTGTTGCTCCAAATTTCATAATTATTATGCCTGTCTTCCACAATGTTCGTTGTTATTATGTTAATTTCTTTGACCGGTTTTGTTTCCTTATGATAAGATTGTCTTTTGCACCTACACGGGATACAAGATAAACCTTTAGAATTAATGAAAAACCGTTTCTTCTTATAGCTTTCATCGCTTTTATCGCTCATTTATATTATTTACCTTTTTAAACATCTTTTATATAAAAGCAGAATGCCTTAAGAAAATCCGACAAACTACGACAACACATTCTATATCTTGGGGTTTTCATTATTTCATCAAAATTCTCCATCTCAGTTATTACTTCTATATACCGATCCATATATATTTAAATGATATAGTTCCTAACTAGTATTAATGTTAGAAGATATTCCTAAAGTAGAACCCATAGACATACCCAAATACAAGTATAAGAATAGTAAATACGAGATGATGCCAAGTCTACCTGCAAGAATGTTATGTGTTGCTTCTTCAACAGGTGGTAAATCTGTTTTAATACAACATCTTATACTGAAGATATACCGAGGTTCCTTTGAAAGAATATACAGTTTTAGCCCTAGTGTTCATGTTGATGACACATGGAGAGCAGTCAAGAAATATAATACTGCCGTAATGAAAGTGGATACCGAAAAAGAAAAAGTATATTATGAAGAATACGATCCAATTGCATTAAAGCATACAATAGAAACACAACACAAGGTAATAGACTTCCAGAAGAAGAACAAACAAAAGGAATTACTCTGTATTTTAATAGTGGTGGACGACTTCGCGGATGACCCTAAATTTGTAAAACAATATCTTGCATGGATTGTTCACACGCGGAAGACATAATGCCATCTCATGCATTTTATCAACACAAAATTATAATGTCCTTGCCCCTATAATAAGACTTAATGCCTCGGCACTTTTCGTATTCAGACTGAAGAACATGAACGAGGTAAATAGTTTCCTAGAAGAGAATAGTGCCCTTGTAGACAAGCGAACACTTTATGACATGTATCAACAAGAGGTGAATTTTGCACCTTACTCGTTCTTTCATATAAACACAAATGCTAAAGATGTGAATAACATGCTTTACATTAATTTTGAACAACGCTTTGAAATAGGTGAGTCATAATATTATTTCAACTAATAATATAATTAGTCACGGCTTCGCCCTGAGGATGCTAAAGCATCGTCACGACTTCGTCCTGAGGGCGAACCTCGTTCGCCGTCACGGCTTCGCCCTGAGGATGCTAAGGCATCGTCACTTTCACTCTTAGTTTCTTTAACTTATTTACTTCCTTTTTCAATTTTTCTACATCATATATTGTTGCCCTTAAAGCACTCCATAAAATTGGCACACATGTTGTGTAATCAAATTTCAAATAGCCATCTTTTCCTTCTTTTACTACATTCTGCCATTCATCAGGCATCTTTTTTGTTTCCTTAAAATCATTAGCAATAAATTCAATGCACGATTTACCTTGTTGTCTGTCATCATTGAAATGATATGTTTTCAGTTTAGTATACTTTATTAACTCTACTGCTTTTTTACTATTTACTTCTTTTATGTCTTTCTTTAACCTTCTATCCGATGAAGGAATTAACGACCCTGTATATGAAAGATCGCCATAAACATCAACACCTGTTGTTGTTGTTGCGTCTAATGTTGATAAGTTATTCTTACTTAATCTTATCCATCCGTTGTCATCTGGGTTGTTTATTAATACTCGTTGCTGTCCTGTTATATCATCGTGCGTTATTTCTAAATTTCCTAGTAAATTCACTTTGCCTTCTGTCAATTGAATTTCCGGTGTGCTTCCTATGGTTCCGATGATAAAATTAATTGCTCTGTCGGTGTCTCCATTTCTTATATCTAGACCATAATCACTACAGTTTCAAGTTTCCTTTATTGCTGATGAATGTTGAAAATAAACACCACCCCGTACATCTAAATCTGCTTCTGCTGTTATTTTTCCTATACTGTTAAAAGTCTGATTATTCGTAACTGCTCTGTTAATTGTAATTCCGTTAGTGTCGGTTAGTTGTAATGCTATAGTTCCTGTTGTTGGATCGGTTGCTCTGTTTGGTTGAAATGAGAAATTTATTTCGTGCTTTGTTATTAAGTTTAATGAATTGTTTGCGTCCGCTCTTCTGTATATTTTGCCATTATTCCATATCAATATTTCATTGTTAAAAGGTAGTACCGCCGTTAAAATCTTACAGTACAACTAAATTTAGAACTGCCACCATTAACGTTAAGAACATCTACAACGGCATTAGCTCCTATTCCTAATTTATTACATCTCACTGCGTTAGACTTATTCATATTCAAAAATAACCGTTGTGATGTGTCATTTGTATTATAAGCATCAATACTAAAACCTCTAAATCTTCATTTCCCACTATTATTAGCAATTGCTACAACATTACTGGCGTCTGTTGCTGGTTTGTAAATTGTAAGTCCTGAATTATTAGATATATTGAAATTCTCAGCTTCATAATTTATAGTGTCTTTAAAATAAGTTGGTTTAAATACCGTTGTTTCTCCTGTCGCATTGTTACATTCAATAAATGTATTAGTGTCCGTATCTGTGGATGCTCCTAACATGAACCTCAGTGCTTCTTGGTCTGTTTTTAAATCCAATGATATGTTTGATTTTGTAGCATTGCTGTATCGGTCTATGCTTGTTTTACCATCAGTCAATTCAATATTGCCACCAATATTAATATTATTAGTTAGACTAATTCCGTCTGTTGCTAAATTAGATAACGATAAATCGTTAGAAATATTAAGATTTCCTGATGGATTTAAATCCAAGTCTACGACACTGTCATCACTTGTAGCATTAGTCATAAGTTTTATTTCCTTGTAAAGTTACATAATTTGTAGCGTTTTTGAATACTGAGACAACTTTATCCCCTCCGCCAAACTGATTACTAAATACTAATGCCGTAGTCGGTGATATATTTATTGTTTCGTTGTCTAATGTTAATCCACTATGAATAATAGTAGGGGCGCTACAAGCAATAACTGGGTTTGTTTTGAAGCGGTCAGTAAAATCACTTAATGGAACTCTTAACGCTAGTAGACTGTCAATTTCTGTATCGGTATAACCACCGCTACCACCAGCACCTGCTATTAATGTATCTACCTC